AGAATTTTGTGCTTCTTGGATAAAATGTAAAATATAGTTTTATTCATCAATTACATGTAATATAATTTGAGCAAAAAAGTCTATAGTAGCATTTGTATAATTTGCTCCGAAGGGCAAAAAATAGCATTTTTCCTATATAATCCTATAGAAAATGTACCTGTATTTTGAGATGGTTCCTAAAAAATAATCAAGCGGTAGATTTTCAATAAACTTGGCATATATACTGAAGTCAATGTAAGGTACATATGGTATAAAATTAAAGAATTTCTCTATAGTAGTCTTCACACAATAAAACCCCAGTCGGCTCCCTTAAAGCGTTAATTGAGGTGTCGTTTGTGACATCACAGTCGCCTCTACAAGTGCACTGACTGACTCTCCAGTGAATTCTGCTTCAGATCTGGCACAGGCCTTTAGATCGTTTTAATCCGACTTAAAAAATCGGCTGTTACAAAAAAGGACCAGGGGCTCAAGCTAATTTCGAGTAGTAAAAAAAAAGGGGTGGGATGTTGGAATTGATTTCAGCATATCTCGGGAAGTATACGGAATTTCGGAATGAACTTTGGTAGAAATGTAGATTGTTTATATGTGAATAGTTATGAATAGAAAGTAAAACTTAAGATAATTTGATTTAAAAGTATTTCATTGACGAAAGTGGGTACCATGTGTTAAGAGTTCCCTCCCTTCATCTTTTTTTTTATACCCCGAATTTTTTGTAAGTCGAATTAAAGCGATTTAATGGGCTATGAAATCTGGTAAAAATGTAGTGTTATGAACCGTTTGCGTTTGCATACATTATGTAGGGACTATAAATAGACTATATAATAATAGAATTTATTTGTTGATATTTTCAGGATCTTCCATTTAAAGAAATATATGAACATTACCTAATCATTTATTACGTGTGTCATATTAAGAAACGCGACTTTTTAATGAGCAAAATAAAATTTGATTTTAAAGGGATGACTTTTTATTGAAATACCATGGTTTATAAGGAATGCCTCAGATGCCAGTATTCAGCAAAAGGATAACGAAATCTCACAAGAAATTCCGGACCTCTTATTCATATGTACATAAAGGTCAAAGGTTTACTGTTTTACAGTCCGGCAAGGGAGTAAATTAACAAGTAATAGCATTGATAACTGCCGAGGGCACTCGAATGGTGTTTGCGGAGGATTATTTTTCTTTTATCTTTTGGTGGAATAAGCGCCGACCTGATGGCGGACGGTGTTTTTTGAGAAGAACCCAGACTCCATTTAATTTATACCGTCTAGCACGAGTATGAAAATCAGCAAAAAATCTCAATGCAAATATTTGAAATAAATTGCTACTAGAAAGAATATATTTAATACATCAGTAGCGAATAATCATCAAAAACAGTTCGCTCTTTTTAGTTTATTTTCGCACTCTACTGTGCGAGATTTCGTACATTTCTTGATAACTTAAAAAAGGCCCAAATGAATGTTATATGACATCGTAAGGATTAGCACGGCCATTAATTATAAACCTATTAGATTGTCTAGTATCAAAGAGCGCGGAGCATTGGCAATATAAGCACTTTCCAGTAAAGTACAGTAGGCAAGCAGTTTATTTCAGCTATAAAGAGGAAAACGATTTATAGAGGTATCCGGTACCTGTTTTTAATTATTGTTTGACAATGAATAATTTATGAATAAATGTCTTACTCTTAATTGTTAGTGCTCTGGTTTTTTAAGGGTTGTTATATAAATCCTCAATAAATCGGGGGAACATTTTGTGTTCTAAAATCAAATCAACTGCTTTTTTTCAGTAATTCAGCTTTTGTGGGTTTTTTTTTCACTTTTAAAGAGATGGCAATTTATGATAATACTGCATGATAACAAACATAAAAAGTAGTATTTGATACTTTGCAGAAAATATGATTTTCTCCTCAACATTTTTCTCTATACCCTCTCAATATTCTTGTTAATGGTATATCCATTATAATCATTCTTCGTTAGCATATTGGATATAAATGTGTTTGAATATTTTTACTTATGTTCATCCAATTGACAACTTGGAAAATTTTGATTTTTTTCCGTCCAACGAAATATAAATTCTGTGAATGAAACGCATGCTAAACGGATTCAAATGAAGCTTTTTCCCAGTTCCACAGTTTTGAGATGTAAACAGATTCGAACCGGACTATAGAAAACAAGTCAAAGTAATGTCACATTAATGCATTTTTCCACAAGAAGGTAAAGATTTTCTTTAATGGGGTAGCAATATTAGCATGATTTGAATATTTTACGTCATTTTTTTTTTTCTACGAAGCGTCCGGTCACCTGTTTCAAAACATAGAGAGGATCATGACATTAATGGCGACTCGTTTAAGAGGGGATGAAGAAAAAAGAGATCATTGTGACGAGATGTTTGAATGACTAAATGCTGATCAATGTGTAATTGACTACCGAGGAAGCAGATTTAGCCGCCATTTGCTCTTGTCGTCAAGCGCTTAACTGAAGAAGATTAAACACCCAGATGAATTCTGCTTGACTAATGAGGCAAAAGTTTGAAGCACATTGAAGAGTGGACAATGAGTGGCCATGAATACAGAGGGTGCTGAGATTTCAATGTTTTTCTAATCAGCCATATAATTGCTCAATTTTGGGGAACATTTCGATAATTCATTGAACCATAAATCTAGTTTCGGAATAATTATGTTTGCCATATTCAATTTGTTATACAATCATGCTGTTTATTTTTCTCTTAATTTAAAAAGAGAACATTCTGTTTCATTATGATCGGAAGGGGGTCAACATTGTCACCTGCTCTGGATGTCAAAATTATTGTAATTCATCACAAAACAATGAGTAATTTCAAAGTCATAAATATGCATGTCTGATTCCCTGATACATGTAATCACAAAACACGAGCAAATTCCGTGTGACATTTTACAAGTATTATTATTAAGGCATCCTTATCACTTTTATACTCTGATTGATGTTTATATAAGATTACTAGATCTTTTATGGGAAGAATACATGTATATACATTTTCTACAGTTAAGAAATTGTAGACTTATATTCGTTCGCAGGTAGAGAATTCTTCTTCTTCTTCTTCACAAATTTCAAATCTAAATTTAAAACTTAGTGGACTCTGTAGGAAGTGTGAGCACATCTGTATTACAAATGAAGTTATAGGAAAGAAAATGGATCATAAGGCAGTGTCAATTAAAGAACAAAGAAACTAGTGCTCACATATAAAATTATTAACTTACCGTGCCCTACAAAATTGTATTTTTTTTTTTCAAATTTTGGGAGAAGTCTATTTTAGTAGAGAACGCAAGAACTGATAAGAGATGTCTGAGACGTGGCCACTAATATAAAAATTATGACCAATAGTTTACGAAATATCATTTTTAGAAAGACCAAAAAAAAAAAAAAAAAAAAAAATTGAAAAATAACAGTACTGACAGTTTAAGCTTGATACTGAGTTTCTGTTCTATTAGAATTTTTAGTTTTCATCTCAAATTAAACTAAGTGTAAAATTTCAAATTAGTTTAAAAAAAAGTAATTTAGATCAATAAATCGTTTTCTATATTGCATTTCTTCCGGATTTATTATTTTTTTTCTGTAATTAGATCATTTTTGCCTTAACATTTTTTTTTTGTATATGATAGGAACATTTATCGACTTCGCCTGCAATCGTTTTCTAAATAAATATTGTTCAAAAGAAAACATATGTTGTATGAGTATGAATGCAGTAATTTTTTCCCCATTTTGCAGTATCAGTCACATTTTACAACATTTCATAGAAGTTTATTTTGATTTTGTAAATCATAAAATTATAAGAATTTAAAAAGAATAATTGTTACTGATTTTTCGTGCTTGAGAGACTATAGGAAATGATTCATTGCCATTATCGTTTTAAAGTTGTGCTTTATATTGAAATCTTATTTTATTTTTCCTAAAAATTTGAACAGTATAACTTTGATGACGACAATATTTGTAGAAAAAATAGTGTGATTCAAATATCAAACTTGTTAAGCGTTAAAACGGTGCCCAGCACGTCAAATTCATAAAATGAAGATATATTCTCTAAAAATTCTCTACAAGAATTGACGCAATATTATTTACTGGCATAAACAATTTTATACTTTTTTTAATGCCATTACATTTGTAAATAAATGTAGCCTCGATATTTATGTCGAATCAAATATGTCATTGACTTATAAATCTATCAGTTATAGACACCACTACATGTATATGAGCTTTTTTAAAAATGTACTTTCTTGTTGATGCATTTGCATACGTTATAGAACACTTCAAACTTGTGATATGAGAAAAAATCATTAAATTTTCGGAAAATAAACTACGACATGCTCTCCTCTTATTTCCTGGCAAAATTCGTAAAGATTATCGACCATTGTTACCTTATTATCAAATTAAATAAGGTATATAAGTCACAGTCGAGAATCAATTGATATTGTGTTCCAAAGAACAGAGTCAAACGCACGTTGAAAAATATCAAACATTTTTTTCTAACTTCCCGGCGCACGTTTGGTGTAATTTTTACACGCAGTTTCTATTTATTGTTTTAAATACTGATTTCTTAAATTATGACTAAATAATGAATTCTTTTAATCACAAATTTAGACAATTCTTTGTGCTGATATTTTCTAAGCATCTTCATCCATCAATATATTTTTCTTAAAATTTTCTTTAAAAATATTAGAAAATATGATTTTAAATGCTCCTGTAACTTTTGTATTCTACAAACGCTATCTTTTATTTTGATAATAATGGAATTACACTTCAGGTTGTAATAAATCCAGTGTTAAAAATCAATCCTGGGTCACCAATCAAACAAAAGATCCAAAGTGACTGACATCAGAAGGTGTTATCACACGCCGCGTTGGGCGGAGCTTAATATGCAAATCACAACGTAGATATCCAGTTTCCTCCTTATATTTGCATACGTTATAAAGTAAATTTTATCTCTCTTTCACAAGACTTTTAAAAAACACTCGTCAAAGATTCACATCGAAAGAGAAAGGAAAAAATAAGAAACACTTCGAATATTCCAAATTCATTCGAAAATTGGACACAGAAATAATATATTTGTCCATATGTTAGATGGTGACTGTTAGAAGCTTCTGAGCCAACTACGAGAGATCGGAGGGTCCCTGAGACGAAATATAAACTCTTATGCGTGCTTAATCGCGAGTCTGTGACACGATTTGCGGGAGTTTCATTTACACTTCTTCGGGAGCTGAAAGCACGTTCCTGTGTGTATATTCCTGGGTTTGAACAATAACTTCACGGTTTGAGCATTACCAATAGACTCTTAACTGTGCGTGATTTTTCCGTTTAATCCGTAAGCCGGTAATTTTAGTTTCAACTTTTGACTTGTTTCTTTGGGAACCAATACCAAAATCATGACGTAAAATTAATTTCAAGGATTTCCTGTGTCACGTGGTTTTCTGCAGAGATGCAACCCTTTTTCGGTAAGATTTGGAAATTAATACCAGATTAAAGTTAGAAAATTTATTTAAAATCTTTCTTTACCCTGCAATGTATTGATATTATCTGAAAATGATTTTTCTTTACATGGTAAATATTTAATCAAACCCTGTATTTAAACGTGAACTAAAACCCGCACTCCCGGACGTTGCTGAGACTAAGCAGGGTGGCCCAATTAATGACATTTTCGAGGAAGTGTCAATGAAATTTCTCATCTCACAGGAAGCTTTGAAAAAATTAAATGTTTCAAAATAGTAATTTCATTTCTGTTTTCTTTGGTTTTCCTGTTGCATTAGGTACAACAAGTAAAATTGTAAATTATATGTTAGTTTTAATCATCTTCAAAAGTGTTGAAATAGTTAACTGTATTTGTAAGTATAAAGACCAAATTCAATAATTCTTATTCCTTCAAAACTATTTTCATAACTATGAAATTGAAAAAAAAAACCAAAACAAAACAAAAAAAAAAGTAAGAAAATCAAAGCTCTCACTCTCTCTCTCCAATTTTCTATTTTAAAAAGAATCCATCTACATCTTTCAGAAAATATTCCACTTGAAGAGACACATTTCTTCTTTTACATACATCTTAAACCACACACACCTGGTCTCGGATAGACCGATACACGTGATTTGGTCCATTTTGTTAAAGTGAGAAAAAATTTGACATACAATGCTTTTAATTATTCTATCACGGGGTAAACCAAGATTCAATCTTCTCCTGTTTTTTCTGTTAAAGAAATTTCAAACAGTTTTTCCTCTGTAGAAGATTGTATTTTCAATTGGCCATCCCCCCCTTTAAAAAAAAAAAGGAAAGGTGATTCGTTTTATTAAACAATTTTAGTGATGTTTCCTTAATTTGAATTTCAAGTACATGCACTTCAAGGTATTCCTTAGACCAAAGAAAATTAGTCATTTTAAAGTTGTACACATTTTGGGATACATGTACCTATAGGGTAAATTATTGCATATGTATCGTCTTTTGTACAATATGAATAAATTCAAGCTTTAAAGAATCTAAAATGAAAAATAAACTTCGGACAAAGAAAATAATGGATTTTGCGTTCTTTAGGTGAGTGTAAAATTTGAGGGTGAAAAGCTAAATTTTTAATTTATGAAATCACATTTGCTTTTTAATAATCCATAATGGAATACTCTTGCAGAATAAAAAAAAATCCATGTACAGTAAACAAAAAAAATTGACGCGTTTACCAATTATTCATTTATGTACCGGAAAGGGGACACTATCAAAATTGCTTCTTAATAGGGGAATATAAATCACAAGAAATTTCCTTCCAATTAAATTCTTCATAAATAAATTCCTCTTATTTATATGAGCAGTATAAAGAATCTCTTAACCCGTTAATCTTCACAAGAACTCTTATCAGACGGTACTTGTGTTCGAAACCTTCTACACAATGTTTATCGTGTTATAATTTTGGACTCTTAGATAAAGAGGGGTGAAACTTATTGTAGAATTATTAACCCTAGTGTATAGGTCACCTCAATAAATGATAACCCAACATAAACACTGCTCGGAGACCAATCTTATTAAAACCGGCTTTCTCTGATCCGCAAAACCCCGTCAGGATTCCGGAATTCGGTTTCCTCTTTCAAGAAACGATGAAAAATTAATTACTAATAAAATGATGGACTTTAACTCTTTCTCTCATTTATCAGACGATCTTTACTTCAATCCCAATATTTCACGCGCATTATTGAAGCGAATTAGTGTTTATTTATGCATGTAGCGACGCACGTGCATCGGGGAATTTACTGATAACGTAGTGTGTATTAAGTGTCTGTACCTAAAACAAAGCGTGTCAATTGTTCATTATCGGACCTTGATATTTAATTCATGATTGTTTATTCACAAGCTAATAGACAGTTCTTGAATTATTCAATATTTGTACATTTAAAGAATTATTCTTTTTTTCTTTTTAAATTAATCATAATTGAAACCGATAATAGAGTGGTATACATTTGTATTTCAAAGATATATGTTTAATTCAATTTTTTGATAGTACTACATCTTTTTCTCCCGTCAACAGGACGGTAATGTATTTATGCATTCCTCCTCTGGAATTTATTTATTAGATAAAGAACACAGAAATATTCGAAAATAATTTCTATAGTGCCTGTCTATCTTCTCTTTTTACATTTTACATTCATTTGTTATCCAAAACGAATTTTATGTGATTGTAAAATATGCCGAAAATAATCAACCATAATTTGATAAACTTTCCCAGCAGAAATACAGACAGAAGCAAAGAGATTCCGAATATAAAAGGGCAATAAATGATAGATATCAAAAAATCTGTGACAAGTCGTACAGAGGTTATCTGCGGTCACGAATGAGTTGAAGAATGACTGATACAAGATATTTGAAGAGCCACTCTAAAGATCACTTGAAATGAAGGGGACCTCGAGATCGAGGAAACCGTTGTCCAATGTTTGTAATAATATTTGAAATAAATTAGAAACATGGTGTAAATAACAAAGAAAACTGGAGACACTGATCCCAACCCCCCCCCCCCCAACCCCCCCCCCCTTCCCTGCTCCCCACTCCTTAACCTTAAACATATACACACACAATTCTTTTTATTAATCAAAATTTTATACATGTAGTTAGGTAAATCCAATCATAGACTTATGCATGAAGATAGATGCATGTATAATAACAAAATTATTGGGGATTTCTTAATTCGCCAATTTTTAATTGATCTATTCCAAAATTGCATTTTCAGTGTAAAATTTTTTATGGCTGTAAAATTTCAGTGGAAATAATAAGTATGCTTCAGTGTTTAAAATATCGATATCTTTGAAGTAGTGAATACATAATCCAGCTAGAAATTAAGAGGATGTTCCACGCATTTGGAGGAGAGTGTAGCAAAAACCACCCCCTCTCCTTTCCAAAAAATTCTCATAATGAGGTTGAGGGTTTTAAATTGACGACAAGTTTATGTATGTGAAACTTATTAAAACTCTCCGAAAATGTGTAAACTACCCAGCACTGAGGTAGATAATCTGGTGATTTAATAACAATACCCAAGATCTTAGGAGGGAAAATAATCAACGATTGTGGACACACTGATAATAGCTTTGTCAACGACTTCAAACAGTCCGGCCACTTGAAAGCGAAAATTGATGCACCCGATAGGTCTATTGTTTAGATAAATTTTTACCAGTAAACTGATAGAAATTGAGCTCTCCGGAGATGTTCGGCAACTCATTTGACACTCTGAGCAATAGAGGGATTATTTCTTAAATCAATTTTTTGTCTGGGGCGAGATAAAGAGAGAGAGGAGTTATTTATTGATATGTAAATAGAGCGGTGATTGAAGGTGAGAGGTGAACGTGTACAGAGTTCTCGGTTTATATGTATATTGGAAAACATCAGTGAACTAAAAAGTGTAATTACTTCAACATATATCATGTTTGTTTGTTTAATTATCCATTTAAATGAATTCGTTTATTTTCTTATGTTGAATTATCCGTCGGTCTATACATGTACCTCAGATATAAGATGAACGCGAAAGCGGGCTGTGAATGAATTAGGTTCACGTACTATGATGATTTTGTTGTACAGCTAAAAATAGATCTGAAACATTTTTTTGATTTTTATAAAATAACTATTACTTTCACAAATAGTTTTTTTTTCCATAACAGTGTATACGAAAACACACTACATTAAAGTTTGTAGAATAATGCTTGCATAAAACATTTTCCGTGTTTTCTGCCTTTTTTAATGTATCTTCTCTTACACACTGTTTTCTTTACGAGCATGGACTCCCTTTATCATTGATATCCTTAGACTCGTATGAGACACGCTTCACCAGTGCGAATAATTATTTTGGCAGGAAACCCCCTCCCCCACAACCCCCCCTTTTTGTTGCATCATGACGTCACATTTAGTCAGATTTCTAAGAAATGATACAAATTTTCGACGTTTATTAAGTTCTTCACAATTTCAACACATAAAAAGGGATATGTTACTTTTATCAAACAGACAAACAAACAAAGGAAGTCAGACTGTACATTCCGCACTGCATGGATTTAAAATGAAGAGTTAATTCTATATTTCATCATTTGAACTTATATTAATTCTTTTGGAAGAAAAAAAAACTCTATATAATTAGCTATACATATAACTATAAATTTTTCAAGTCTCACGAAATGAAATTTATACACTGTCATACAATAATCTTTTTTTTTTTTTTTTTACTTTTGAAAATAGACTGACCATAAAAATACACATTCCGTGTAATTCATGTACAGTAGCTCAGTTGTACTAAATAATAAACTTAATTTATGCATCGTCTTAAATTTAATTATAATATATAGCTAAATCCACTTCTATTCAGCAGGATTTTTTAATTTTGATTTGAAATAAAGATGAGAAATAATCTGTAGTATAAAAATCCCAAGATTACATTACACACTGTACAAACGTTTAATGAGAGTAAATATGATTTAGAAGCTCTATGCCTATAATTTACTACACATGAATCGACATTTGTGAATTCAAAAATTACGCAATCTGAGACTTTTTTAATTTTTTTTATTTCCTCTGTTGTTTTAGTTGTTTCAAATTCACATTTTTGAACTGACTTTAACATTTGACTTTATGGTCATAAAAAATGTATATTTATTTACGTTTAAATTTAGACCGATAGAATTTGTACATATGTACATATCTCTATGTAACTGAACTGCTTATGAAATGTGTGCACATGTTTATATATAGGATTCCTGAATTAAATTTGATTAAGTTGATAAATTGTTTACGTTAACAGTAAAGAAGTCAGTTTTTGATTTTTCATTTACAGTTGCCATGATATGAAGTGCAAATCCAAGACGGCCGCCCGAACAAGACGCGAGAAAGAAAACGCCGAGTTCTATGAACTGGCGAAGTTACTTCCCCTACCGTCCGCCATTACTAGTCAGCTGGACAAGGCGTCCATCATACGGCTATGTACCAGCTATCTCAAAATGAGGACGGTCTTCCCCGACGGTAAGCGCTTAATATTTGTTGTCATTTCTGGTGAATAAAAATCTAAGACTATATTTTATATTTACACCCCCCCCCCTAATACAAACAAACAAATAACATTAGATTAAAAAAAAAACTTCAAAGAATTATCTGATCACCATTGAAAGTTTCATGGTTAGAATTAGAGTCGTTTTGTAGACGATGTGGAGATAATAAGTGGATTCAAAAACGAAAGTAGGTCAAATGTTCCAACCGGAAGTGTCGTCATCAAAAATTAAAAAAAAAAAAAAAAACCCTATCCAGCAACGGTTTTGTTGCTGAAGCGTTTTCTTCCCTTCATGTAATTGGTTAATGTTTAATTTTCGAAATGATCTATTTTACGTCCCTTCGAGAACATTTCATTGCTATTGGGACGCCGCCACTGTTTACTCCTTACTTTCTAATCGTAATGTTTAAATGTGAATGAACTCATTTTATGATATCTCTCCAATTTTTTTTTCATTTTTTAGTTCATTTTTTTTCATTCATTTATTCTTTATTTTTTCAATTATTGTTTCTATTATATTTTTCATGCAACAGGGGCAAATGTTCTATATTTATGGTTGAAAGTTAATATAAGGAATCGGAATATATAAGTTTTAACAACTTGTTTCCGAATCATGCATGTATTATCTATTGTGTACATATGATGATTTATTTAAATGAAATAAAGTTTAAACTAATTGCCAATGGAGGAATAAAATTTTGGAACTATTCTCAGTATTTAAAGCTATTGAACCGTACGAGCCTTTTCCTACAGCCAGAGGGGACCTCGGTTTATATGGACTGGTCTCCAGGTTCCGCAGTTTGATTCGAACTCACAACGTTAAGATCAGCTTCCCCAATCTGCGTTAAATTCATTGAGAATAGCATGTATCAGACTTATCAATAAAACATTTAATTGTAAAACAAATTTACTTTTAAGAAAATCCAGTGGAAATTGAACTGTTCGTTTGTGGTCTTGGTATAATAACAATTACAGATGCATTCAACCAACGGAGTACAAGTATTAAATTTTAGTCCGTTATATTTATTTGTCTTTGACACTATTTTTTTAAAAATATAAATGGATGTTATCTTTTTACTAATGAAGAATCCAATTCACTTTTCAAGTACTTTTATTGCAATCAATAATATATGAAATATTCTGTTACAAATATTGATTTGAAAAATCATCACAGTAATTGGATATTTTGGTACTAAGATAGATTCTTAAGTAAGTAAAAAAGAAAAAAAAAATGATGTAGAAATAGCCGCCATAAAACGAATAATCGTTTCAATTCTTCCGGACGTTCCTGTAGGTACTAGATATCTTGAAACCACAAAAAATTCTCAAAACAGTACAGTAACGTAACACCAACACCATATGCTCTCTTTCAAGTCTGCCGTGCTGAAAGTTGAGGCTCCATTCTGAAATTCATTTTGGGGGAAGCTGAACGAACACATCATGTTAAAAAAAGATTTCCAGCGAATTTATCATTAATCAAAATTAAATAAATGAAATGAATTGATAATTGAAAGAAAAACTTGATTTTTTACCCTCCGCCAATGCAGTTGAGATTCAGTTTAACCGAACAAAATATTTTATCCTACATAATATAATTACCCCTCATCATAAAATCCTCTCTACAGTATTGAAATTCTGCATTCATTCTAATGACCACATCATACTAAAACATACCTCTGTGCTAAACAATCTTAAGACGGGCAAAAACGTACAAATGACTATAACTTCTGTTATGTCTATTCCGAAAATCATCGCCATTGCCAGCACAGATACATCTGCTAACATGCAAAAAGGCGATAAAGCATGCTCGGCAGATTTATCAGATTTCAATAAGAGATTTCTATTTCAGAACTATTTGGACCTCAGACATGCCTATAGTTTCGTATATTTAGATTCACACTATATTGTGACCTGAATTAAGTAATAATTGACCAACAGTACAAAATTTATTCACTCAAACTGATAAAAATAGTGGAAGAAATGTAGGTCGTTCGGTTTGGTCATCAGGGTCGACTTATGTGAACTGACGTTGTAATTACTATTAAGGGAAACGTGAACTTTTGAGAGACTAAAAACCTTGTCCCGAATAAGGTGTTTTGCAGTCTTACGGATCTTCGTATGAAAGCTACCCTCTCGATCTATTGTTTTGATGCTGGATACTTTGTCAGACGGTTTTGTGTGTTTAGTGTGCTCCGGCATCTGTTTATCTACTGAAGCTGTGAACGGCCACGTCGCCCTACAGGTGTGACTTTACGGACATTAGCGTGATCCCAAGATAAGGTTTAACATACGGACAGTGTCACACAGAGTCAAATGGACACGGGACTTTTTAACCAAAGTCCTGGATCTGACCTAATATATTAAATTATCAGTCTAGATATTTTAAATATTTCGAATTACATATCATACTTTTTAATTTATCACTCAAATCAAAATCCATTAAAGCTAGAAGATGTCCCCTAAGTCTCCTTAAAATCAGGTCAATTTAAGGCTGTACTTTCCGATAACACAGTACTCTTGTCGATCTACTAATGAAAGCACTTAACATTACCCTCTACATTGTAAAACTTAAAATGAAACAAGAACAGATTTATTGTGACATCATTAAATTACATTTGTAATAAAGAAATGATAGACGTTGAAATGGTCTTATTTTGGGTTATGCATGTAGACCCAAATTCGGGCCACCAAAATAATAAAATATATATTGTTTAATCTGTATACAAATAGGCCTATATGAAAAAAAAATCAAATCGATTCTGATGACCAGCGTAATTATTCTAATCTGCAATAAGGCTCTGCTCCCTCGTTTCTTTACACTCTTTTCCCATTGCCACTTTTAGCATTGTATACATTTGGAACATCTCATATATATTATAGTTAATTTTCTTTGTGTTCAGTAGCACAATCGTATTTGGTAAAACTTGTGTCCAATCCGATTGGTTATCATTAAATAAGAATTCAAGAATTGCAAAGCCACCACTTTATGTACCTGTACATGTATACCTTTTTTTTTTTTTTTTTTTTTTTTTTTTTTTTTTTTTTACCGTGATCGACTTTATTTTCTTCAGGGTTTTCTAAAACGACTTTGCAATACGTTTATTTTGGGGGTAGGATAATCACAAGCAGTTGAAACCTATTGATACTTATACATGTAGCAAACGAAGCGTTCAACAGAAGATTTTTACAATGAACTTAATTCTAATTCTAGTTTACGATGGCAGGAACGTTCCGGTCATACTGTGCTTATAAAAGGATTGACCAAATGGTAGCCCCGCCTCGAAGTTTTTCTTGTAATTTAAGATCTGAAGATAATTCATCGAGGACTATCTGTCGGCGAGTAAAAATGTGGACTCTTGCTTGCTACTATTGACGTGCCAATTCAATAACGAGCAATAAGTGTTAAGGATTATAGCGGCCCTGTTGTCTTTTTTATTGACATAAGCGGTCTCGACATTTTCCAATAAAGATAGCCTCGCGAACACCTGTGCAGAGATTCCGTACCAAACGTTCTTAAAATGTAAATTAACTTATCTTTCAAACGTTTGTCACAGAAAATAACAGACATTTCATGAATTCTTTATTTATGACAATATGCGAATTCGTTTTTGCTCAAGGTTTCTTAAGAATGACTTTTATTCACACATGTATACAGTATATATTCAACATTCATCGTTTTCACGGAAAGTAAAATTTTAAAGATAACTACATATTAATGATAATTATATAGATTTAGAGTTAAATTATTAAAAATGTTTGATTCGACGTTCATTCAACAGAACGTTAGCATCCAAAATATTTTCGTCAGATTCTTAGAGAGGGAAGATGGCAGCACTAATTATAGTTAATGATATAAATGTAGTCGTCTAAAAGTTTAAGTATAACAAACAACACTCGTCCATCCTCAAGGTAATTTTTAAAACAAAAGAAAACATACATTTGCATACTTATCAACCTTTGGCGACAAAATTAGAATTTTTATCGCCAAACTCATTATATGCGTAGTTTTCGTTCATTTTTATACTCGGATGAAATTTGTTCCAAGCCATTGTAAATAAATTGGTATGGTCCCGGGGTACTAAGTTTAACCCCTCCCATAAATCTCTCACAATTTGTTAAGGTTGGGAACCCCTATTCCTTTGAAGATCTGGAAATTCACAAGGTCTAAAAGTGCAACATAGAAGAAATGTGCCCCCTTGAATTGACCCCAAATAATAATTTTTCAGAAATCAAAAGTTGGGCACTAAATTAAATGATAGCGTGTGTACATTTCTTATCAGGGGCTTGAATATCAAGAGACAAGCGACTTTGTTCTGCCTAATTCAGATGCACGTGTGCATAGTCTTGATATATAATGTACATGTATATAAGGACTTTCATTCACTTTTCTTCAAAGTACATGTAAACTATGGTTTTATAAGCCACAAGCAAACATTGTGTATGATACATAAAGGAAAATGTTTTGGAAAAGAAAAAGAAAACAAAACAAAATAAGCTTCACAAACATACATATACTAGTTTCTGTGTGCAACATAGAAAAATTACCCAAAGTACATCGAGCGGATCTTTTGCCTGATTCATATAGATTTTAGTCACTTTGTTTATACTATTGATAATATAAATAATTATTTTTAAAAAATATCTCATAATTAAAAAATGGATATGGCGCTGACAGCGTACGAACAAATATAAGATGTACTAGTACATGTGTATATAAGTATGAGCAATTTAAATTGCTTTCTGTCGGATATACATGCACATGCATTGCGTCGTACTTTTATTGTGAAATCATGAAATGAAGTGGATATTCAAAACACAAAAGCATTAAGAGGGCAATAAAAATATTCGTCTTGTTTGTAAATCCAATGTCAGCAATATTATTAATAACCCAAATCCAATGGGATTTGTCGAAATAGGTCTATTAAATGAAATCAATGAAGCTATTTTCTTGTAGTTGACAAACTTTCTTCTTTTCCCCTTATCGTTTAATTCTATGTCGCCTTTGCCTCCTAATCATTCTTTTGTGTTAGTTATCGGAGATTCTCCCTCATTTTATCATCGCTAATCTATCCAAGCATTGCCGAATACTGCTGGCCCTCGACGAAAATTTTTATTAAAATGGACCCCCAACCCGTTAACAAATTGAGAAGGAATAGTGGGCCTCGATTAGATAAATCTGCTTTTCCTTATTCACGCTATTTATTCCAAGGTGTCAGAAGTTTACACAAGGATTCCAATCCAAGTTTGCTTTCGACACCTGGAGAATATGTTCACGTGTGTCAAGGTGCGAGAAAAAACGTCTTCCCCGGCGATTCGGAACATTGATTGCGACTCTAGGACACGGGGTATTCCGAATGGATTGTCAAATTGTGCGATAACTATTTCCTTTAATTTCCGTTCTTCTCCGGATAAAACGGACAGGTGCGCTTGAAAAATAGCTATTGATGTTAAGAGATACAAAAACTCGATGTTTCTGCTCCGTTCTCATCTTGTTTATGACTGGAGTCAAACACACAAGTTTGGAATTTAAGGTGGTCATCGCCACTTTTGATTATGAAATGCACTTCTAGTCAAAAGAATTTATCGAAGTATCATAGATTAATACCCGCTGTCACAGAAGTGATTGAGGAATTCAATAATAAATTATTTATTAGATAGGGAAAAAACTAAAAGATATCGAGCAATAGTTTGACATATTGTCATTTAACCTTATTTTATAGAAAACAATTATGCCTGTAAAAGGGAACAAGGAAAATATTAACCCTGAGAGTTTTAGTATTTCATGAACACGAACTTGCATAAATGAGTCGAAAGCGTATTGGATAACATAAACAATAAATTTACAGGTTATGTTTGTCGACAGCCATATGGAAAACTCATTATCTTTTAATTTTTTTTTTCAGAAGAAAATATTATGCCTTTTAGAAAATATATCCTTCTTTTCATAAAATATCCCTTAATATTTAGGAGAAAAATCAACTTATTTCTAATGTCAAGATTATTAAAAACCAAAATTTTGAATATACAATGTACATGTACATCTAATGATTATACATATATTAACAGTAAAATTTTATCATTCTAAATCAAGTTAATACGCTTCATTTCTTGTTTGACCCAACGAAGAAAAAAAGATTGTTAAACTATTTGAATTTAATTAAAAAATTAAAAATATACCAAGGCCTCCTGAGACCCCATTTCTGACAGACTGTCGTGAAACCCGATCTCCATTTAAAGTAAAAAATGTTGATAGTTCGTTGACATAATGTTTACTTTTACTTTTAAAACCCGACACAAAAGTTTGATCGTTAATGCAGGGTATAGTTGTCAGTCTGTCGAGATTTTCATCGAATAACAGTATTGATATTTTCTTCGTTTATTCGTTATCTTTTATTACGAGTATATCATGCAAAACATCGCCATGGGTTTATCAAAAAAAGAGATGTAAATCTACACGTACGAAAAATACAATACAGATGAAAATTATTTGTATTTGTTGATTAAAAAAAATAAATATCATCCTCTCTTTTCACTAGCATAAAGTATTTTAGGTTTTGGGTAATACTACATGTATACTTACCTCCATATTTTATATTCACAAAAAACTACCCCTGGTTAGTTTTATTTTTATGAAAAAAGAACCAACTTTTGAGACAATGCGCTTTCTTTCAGAGAGTGATTTCACATTTATTACAAAGAAACTGATTTTGCGATCGTTTTCGTAAATACTTATATCAGTTGAGAAAAAAAAGATTAAATTCAAGAATATACGCAGTGAAAGCCAGAATCGTCGCAAGGAAAAGCTACTAAAAAATTAAATCATACCCTCATATTCATTTCACTTCATGGTATAGAAAAAAAAAAGAAATTCAAATATTTGATTATTGAAGAATTCTCAGCAAACACAGAAGTTTATAAGGTGTAGTTATTGCAGGGTGCCTAGACCTACAGCGATGAACCCAAAGTCACTGGTCTATTTTGACGGAGTTCGCTATAAAACGTCTAAACACTCGCTATTGACATTGAATAATAATATAAATATTGAACTTGCGAATCCTTTTATAGGTGGTATTTAATCTCCGGAATCTGCCCGTTCAACGTTTCCGGTTTCTGTGTTTGCATTGCCTCTTCTGTCTGTACAGTGAAAATTGAAAGCATTTTACAAAAAGTGACAGTTTGAATTTAATAAGCTTTAAAAAATATCAGGTTTAATTCTTTTTTGAGTCTGTTTAATTTACAATTTTAGAATTATTTTTGAATTGTTCAATTTACTTGTTAATTTCTATAAAATATTTCGTAATACATGTAACTGATTTATGACAAAAGTCAGTGTACAATTACTGATCTAAATGAGAAAATAAAAAAAATTAAACTTTTTCATTCAAAAACTTCTTTAAAAGAAGTTAAGAGTATGGTTAAAAATACAAGTAGGAATAATACATGTATTGCAATCTCTGTACAAAGATATGTGTAGAATGTTATTATTTCTGTAGGTTAGAAAAATTAATGTAAATGGGAAAAAAGAGAAAAATTGCTCTTGCTCTGTATTTCTGCAGCATTGTATTAGTAAATTCCTGATAAATCAAATCCAGTTTACAAGAAAAGATCCACTATCATCTAAAACCACCATTTGTTCTACAAATCGACAACCTTCAATTACCATCCAGGACCTAATAACGATTTAACCATTTGTCGTATTTACCCTGCTGTGATATCGGGACCCCAAGGGAGTTTTGGTAAAGAACCAATATGTTCCGATGAGTACATTTCGTTCACATCGTGCGGTGAAATCGTGTGTCGTCTGCTGAACGATGAAGCTCAATTGGACATTCACAATTAATTGAAAACTTTAACCGAGGCATAGGTTGTCTGGAGATTGATTAAATTCCTCATTAAAACACCAATGCCATGACTTGAGCTTAATTTAAATACTTCTACATTTGTCCAAAGAAATGTTTTATCATTTAATTGGCGAGTGGAAGTAAAAATGAATGTGATGAATAAACCTGAATACTAGCATTGAATATCTTCTAAACATTTCGGGGGGGGGGGGGGGGACTGGAAAACTCCTTATCGTAACGTAAAATACTTGGGTCTGATAAACTTCTGCAACATAATAATTACATTGCTCACATATAAAGTCTCAAAACCGATTTCTCAAAGCAACTTAATTTTTTTTTCTTTTCTTACACATTCAGATATGCCTGCATGCAACAGAGAATTTGTCTATTTGAAAAAAAAATGTGTATAGATTTTTTTTTTCCTTTTTCAGGACTAGGGGATGGTTGGGGTCAAAGGTCACCGCCAAGAACCTTGCTGGAAAAGGAACTTGGATCACACCTTCTTCAGGTAATCTCTCTCTCTCTCTCTCTCTCTCTCTCTCTCTCTCTCTCTCTCTCAGATATCGTGTTACGTGAAATCAGACTGATTACCATAAATGTCAATGTATCATTTATCTATGGTACAGCAGATCGAACTTCAGCCCTTGATTAGCATGCAAATTTTCTGTTTTCTATTCCGGATCATGATTTTCTTCTAGTTTAGGGAGTTTTATTTTTATATATTCACTATTCGGGTACCCTTACCCTAAATTCATATTATGTTATGCAACTGAAAGTTGAATTATAGGCACTTTGTTGAAATCTATTGTAATATGTTGGAAATTAATGCGCATATGATTAGCATATGATGAACTGTAGGAGAAATTTATATAATTGTTGATTTTGTACGTAAGGTCTTGGTCTTAGTTAAATTTTGATAACCCAGTTCTTCTATGATAAGAAATTTCATGTTATTTCAAAGAAAAACCTCAAGATTTAATAGCAGTATCGGACTGTTAAGCAAAGAGAGCGCAAAGTAAAGGCAATGGCACAAAAATGAATTAATATAAATATCGTCCAGTTGTGTAAAATCCTTTCTTGAGATGACAAACCACTTGTAGAAAATAGGTAGTATCAGTCTCGCGCAAATCTCGGGAGTTCGTGAGTATGAATATATTTACTTCCTGTGTGACAATCCTGCGTCAGTGACAGTGGCCTGCAGACGAAAGATAAGATACAGTTGTCAATTAACAATTTTCTCTAGTTAAAATCTGGCTGCATAAGACTAAATATTCCCAGAAAACTGAAAATTTTTCGTTTTGTTATTTGACATGGGTATATCATATAGATTTCTAAAGAGAAAAAAAAATCACAATAATATTTAATTACTTACTTATCTATTTATTTATTTTATCTATTTAACTAATTTATTTATTTATTTCAATTATTCTTCTTTTTTTTATTAATATAATTTTTTTTGCAATTGCTTAAAAGATATTCCCATCTAAAGCTTTATATCAATTATACTTTGAGCTCGTCGCCTGTTGTATATTTTGAATTTACTTTGTGGAGATAAATAAAACACTTAAAAAATAATATCTTATCAAGTCCAAAAATGTCTACTTACCTCCAACCAGTAATTTCAAAAGTAACATGATATTCACATGCACAAGTTCATCGTATATTAAAATTTTCTCAAATTATATAATATTTTGGCATTCCTCTTAAATTTAGTGTAATTGTTCTAAATAATGGATTTTATAAAAATAATTAATCTTTTATAAAAAAAAAAAAAGTTGTTAAATGCAAGCTATTATGACAAAATTTAAAAAATAAGAGAAGTGTTCTTATTTATTTTGAAGAAAGCCATGGTGTAAACTGATTTTATCCCCAGCAGTAGCCGCTGTGTGCGGATACAGTGGTGACAACCGGCTCACATCGCTAATTATAATCCTGTCTGGCATCTCTAGCTTCTCGCTATCGCAAAGAACCGAGAAAAAGCTACTTTTAATTACATCTTATCCTCGCCTTTTTGCAGAAAAACAGATAAAAGAACAAGAAAGTGAATTTACGTGTTAGCCAATTACTTCACTGATTGTTATTCACTGCGAGGCTGTTTTCCTGTCAAATGGAGACTTCCTATTTAATGCGAAATTGATTTTGTTAAGGATCCACATTCGATATAAAAAGACGTTAATGCGTTATCTTTTATGATAAAACGCTTATAATATGGCCTCGTTGGAACCAGACCAGAAGAAAGCAATTAAAACAGAAACGTGCGAGTCCGCTTATGCACTCGGGGTTATTTGAACAATTCTTGAGTGGTTATTGTAGCGCCAAGTGTCCACCGAAGACAAAAAAATCTGATTGTGAATCAATGTCAAATAAAGAACCAAGTCGATGCTTGAAGACTTAATTTGTGACAAAAAACCTGAGAAAATATAGGCCTTTGACTCCTTGTTATTGAGTTTAATGATAGAAAATATAAAGTCAATAGTTATTAGGCCGTGTATATTGCAATTTTATAAGGAGTTCAGTGTTTTTAGTTTGTGCTTATCGATTTAAGTTTTATTTAGTAGTATTTAAGTTTACATGTACACACAATGAGAGTTTACATGTACACACAATGAACAGAAAACTTTTCCTAAAACCCAAAGTTCAGGTTCCGAATATAGAGGTTTTTTTTTCCCAAATATTGTCTATACATGTACCGTTTATGTACCCAGTGAGCTTATAAGATATTGCACATTAATTCAATTGTTCTGTAAGAAATATAATAATGAAAATATTTATCATTTTAATGATGTGTGTCTTAATTTAAGATTTAAGACTTTTTAATTGTGTATATAGCATTTAGTACAATTGTTGAATACAAAAACTTTATTTTTCTTCTTATTTCGGATAAACATGTGTATTTCAATACTCTTATAAATCGTTTGATGCCGTAAACCTGAAATATACATTTTTAAAAAAAGTATCTAGAATATACCTTTCTTTTCATTAATAAATTGTAGATAAACCTTTAAATTGTAAATAAATCAACCATATGTTAGTATATAAAATTATTTTACCAGAAAATACGTGACTCAATAAAAGTAGAAAGCATACACATAACTTATATTTTACTAAATCAAATTGATTAACAGACAAAGATTACCAAGAATGATTTTAGTATACATGCAGTACCTTTAATAGTAAATACATCAAGATTTCTTTTTTTTTCCAGACACTAGATGGCTTCATATTCGTTGTTGCCCCAGACGGGAAAATTATGTACATATCCGAAACCGCATCCGTCCATTTGGGATTGTCACAGGTAAAGATCAAGTTTTATATAAATGGCTTTTAATACATATAATAAATTTATCGTTTTTAAATTTAAATGGAATCGTGTGCACCTACTAGAGTCCATAAGATAATTTACAGATATTGTAAATATATGTCGTTAACTAGAGAATTTCTAATTACCAATTCACTGAGAGTTCTTCTCGGACATTTCCCTTAGAGTAACAATGAAATTAATCATTAAATAATTTCAGCATTTTGTTAGCAGGACAAAATATACATGAATACAGTCTTTTTTTGTAAAGTCCATTACCCAAAATAAATGCGCTCCCCTAGGAACCAGGGTCTTCTCTCCCAATAATTTTGCCGATATATACAAGTAGTGTACTATTAATAGAAAATAAAATACCATATGTTTGTGCGCCTCCAAGAATTACGTCAGATGACACTACAAATCTGTTACAGTTGTTCAAAATCAAAATTATTATACAAGGTATTGTTATCAGCAAAAAGAGGAATTTTTCTGTTAAAAATATTTTTATTACTTTCCCTTATGAACTTTTTTCACTTTTTCTCGTCTGTAGTTCCATCGCTTAGCTTTACATTTGATAGTGATTTGATCAGCAAAGCATGAGTATCACTCATTTGCCTATAGTTCAAGCGCAAAGGTTATTAAAATACAATCTGAAAACCATACACTCAAAGAAGACGTGCCCATATCTATCACATTGAGTGACTTAAACATATTTTATTGTCTCTTAATTTTACAAATAAGATCGGGCAAAACTTCTAAAAACTTAATACGTCGGTTCCCTAGAAGTGAATTATAACATTTTTACACGTATGGGTTAATTTTAAAAAAAATAGTACCAAAAAAAAAAAAAAATCACAAAAGAGGATATAATATTTTATAGGATACATATATCATAAAACACACAAATTAAATGGAATTCACTAAAATTAATTATTGCATTAATCAAAATGACCTGACTTTTTGATAAATATTTGTATAATTTATATCTCAATATCAGTAACAGATTTATCTCCCCGGAGTAAAGTATGACTATCAACAGTATGTAATTTCTCCATTCGCAAAAAATTGTTGAAAAAGTATAAATTTATGGCTTATATTTACGTATATTTTTGGCATGAGAAGAAATTATGCATGTAAAAGAATTTTTCAACAAATTTTTGCGAAGGAGTAAATTACATACCATTGACATAGAGCAATGTCTAGAAGAGATCTATACCATACCTGATTAATGAATTTAAAGGGTAGAAAGTGATATATGAATTTGAACTTGTAAAATCAATGCGACTTGGAAGAATAAATACATGTTATCTAATATGTTCATGTACACTCTGTGAAATCAGCATGCCAAGCCTTGCCCCCTGTATTTGTATGTTGCTTGCATTTGATGGTATTACAATTACAGATCGAGTTAACCGGAAGTAGTATATTTGAATACATACACCCCTCAGACCACGAAGAAATGACCGCTGTCCTAACTTATAATCCGACCTATTCAACTTCCGGTGTAGCAGGTAAACACAACACCATACACGCATTAACCAGAAAGTCCTCTTGTTTTCAGCCGACCAAAGTTTCAGCACCGAATAAAGTGCGCTCATCGTGTAAGGAAACAAAATGGCGCCATCCAGATGCAAAAGATGTATCATAATTAAATGCTTTCCTTTAATAATACTTTCCTTCAAAAAAAATATAATTTTGGCAAATATATTTAATGTTAAAAAAATAAAAATCGCATATTTTGTATTCCGACACGATGTTGCGCATGATAGAAGTAGGAACGGAAGAGGAAGTCGAAAGGGTCTATGCAATATACAGTTGTTCCGGAAATGTACAGAGTTTTATGTTCTTCTAGGTAGAACTGACAGGAAACAGTATTTATGAGTATGTACATCCGGCAGATCATGATGAAATGACTGCGGTGCTCAATTATCACTCCTCCCCTTATCCATGCTGTTATAAAGGTAAATCTCAGAGACCAGCGACCGACGGAAATCAGAAACTCACAACAATATAAAAAACAAAGATAGGGCATTTCTAACGATAGTTTGGACTTTCTTGGCCTGCTAAAAAAAATGACGTAAGACTATTAATAACGTTTTCGAAGATAGAAAATTCTGTAATGCATGCACTGACTTGACTCTGTGTGAAATTTCGACTTCCCAGTTTTATGTCATGTTCTAAATTTTGTATTTACTCCCACCCGGTAAATTCAAAATTTAGAACGTGACAGTTAACATAAATGTACTGCCTACTATGTGACAGTCACATGATTGGCCGATGAAAGTCCAAAGTATTGTGAAAAAATGTAATATTAATTCCTCTAATCAGAAATTGCACATTGGATAGTATAGAGATTTTTTTTTAAAGAATTGAATGATGTACCTTAGAAAATCGTATTGAAAACTAAGTATTGTTAATTTGTTATTCCACACACCCTTAGGGCATGATATGCAATCATGGTTGAATATTTTGTTAATGATTTATTCTACCTCAATTTATAAATATCAATAAGTAAGACCAGAAAAAAGGTATCAACTGAATTTAATTCTCCACTTTTTGTGACAAAGAATGAATAGAATATCTATATTGATATTAACTATGCTTAGAATTCTATGGCAAGGATTCTACTTTTGGAAAAGAATATTAAAGAACTTCTCTTTTTGATTTAAAAAAAAAAAAATATTATTTTCAAAATATAACTGAAAATAACTATCAATTAATAACTTTTATTGAATATTCATTTTGCAAGTATTTAAGCATCGTTCCGGTATTAAGTAAAGTAGATACTGACAATAGAATTACATAATTGTGCCTATAATAAGAATTGTTTCTTTCCAGAGTTTGAAATAGAACGGTCCTTTTTCATTCGAATGAAGTGTGTACTTGCCAAAAGGAATGCGGGTCTTACTTCCGGTGGATACAAGGTAAATCCAGTTCAATAAATCCTCATCTCTTCAACCCCTCCCTTCACTTCGTCACCATGAACATAATCAGGACACGTCGTTTCTGTACATGTGCATGTATAAGCTAAAAACCATACCAAATTTTTTCATGCATTCTTCTAATGACCTACATAAGTTAAATATCATACAGATGATTTTTTTTGAAAATCTCTTTGTCCAATAATAATATTTATAAATCTAATGAATGCAATTTTTTTCTTATGTATCATAGGTTATTCACTGCGGGGGGTATTTAAAAATCAAACAATACAACATGGAGATGTCTCCTTACGAGGGATGTCAACAAAATGTCGGACTAGTCGCCATTGGTCATTCACTTCCGCCCAGTGCCATAACGGAAATGAAGATGTTCAATAACATGTTCATGTTCCGTGCAAGCCTCGATTTGAAACTCATTTTTCTGGATGCAAGGTAAATATACATTATTTAAATCATAACATATGATTTTAGATTCATCAAAAGTCATACATAAAAGGTAGACTAGTGCTATTAAATTATAGTTTAAATGTTAAAAATATGGAAATATGGCAACAAAACAAGCTTGGTAAAAACAAATAAATCTTGCTTATTTCAGTAGATATCTTTTGTTATTTTCTAATAAAAATGATTTTTCCCTTAAGTATTCAAAAATATTGAATAGAATACATAACATTCTTTGATTGGTTGTTGTTTGACAGGGTCGCTCAGCTGACTGGATATGAGCCCCAGGATCTGATAGAGAGGACCCTGTATCAGTACATCCATGCCTGTGATATTCTACACATGAGATTTGCTCATCACACACGTAAGTCAGCAGAGGCATATAGTATCCTACCAGTAATATTTAATGATCTTCAATGTGCTCGGGACAAACAATAAAACGTTCATGAGTAAGGTTGACATTTTAAAATCTGTGAATCAAAAAAAAAAAAAAAAAAAGGAAAATTGAGGGGTGTTTATTTTTCAGTAGAAATTACTAGATTTTCTTCTCTATATCAATCCATTAGATTGTTATATTTTTTTAAAATTAATCTGCCTCGGGTTAAGAGTGGATAAGGGTCTCTCCCCCCCCCCCCCCCCCCCCCGCAAAAAAGATGTTCAAATGACTTCGTGTATGAAGTTGTTGTTCATTTTACTTTTTTAGGCTTGTCAGTACCTTTTTAATCTGTAGTTAATTAAATGTTCTGAATTACTGATAGATTCAATTTCATTTTTGATCATAACATTGTCTTTGCAAAATTTTCAAATCGTTTTTCAAAATGCGATGTAATTTGTGTAAAAGTACCAGAGATCATAGGTTATTCATCATAAACAACACTAAATTCTGATTGACAGTATTTATATTGCTTGGTAATCGGAAAAGTCAACAACTAGAGAGCGAGAACTATTTTGACTAAGAATTTAAGCAAATACGACCTGCCATTTTGATTTTGTTTAATTTCCATAAATTCAATGTCTTGAGTTATTATTATAAGAGTGGTAGCATGTCCTTTCAAGGAGCACGCACAAGATCAATGGCCATATGGTGGTGTGCGATGACACCTGTCGGGCTCGGTATTCTGAGAAATAAGCGCTCTTGGAATATCGACTCCGATATTGTATACTTGAACCTTGGATATTTCTGCGTTGTAAAGAATTTCCGTAATTTATTGATATTTGCCAAAAAAAAAAAAAAAAAAAAAAAAAAAAAAATAGATGTTATTTCATCGCACCAATCTACTTTACACCAACACGACTGATTTACATGGATTGTTTCAAGTTCTTGGTATCATCAATCTATACTGGAAATGAAACCCTTTATAACTACCTTTTCTTTTAGTTTTGTTAAAAGGTCAAGTCACCACAAAGTATTATCGTTTCCTGGCCAAGGACGGCGGATGGGTCTGGATACAAAGCTACGCTACAATAGTTCACAACAGCAGATCATCTCGGCCACACTGTATAGTGAGCGTGAACTATGTTTTAAGGTAAGTACTACAAAAAAATTACGGTCCATTATATGTTTTATTTGTAAGTGGTATTGACAAAGGCGTTCGATCGTTGTATTTGTTTTTCTTTACCTTACTGATATATTGCATTTATTTCTTGCAGTGAAGTTCAAGCAAGAGGTCTTCAGATCCAGTTAGAACAAACTGTTCAGAAAGAGCTTTCCCCATTCTCCACCCTCCCAGGTAGATCTCCGGGAAAGTCAAGATCGGCCAAGTCAAAACATCGACGATCACCTTACTCACAGAATACAAGCAATCAGGAATTTCCTTCTGAGTTTGAGTTAGTTCCTGAAATGGCTAGCACTGACTATTGTCATATAATACAACCGAATCCACATTACGAGGATCCAATGGGGAAGTTTGAGCCTCTCTATGGGCATGCGTTTCCAGGCGTCTTCCATCCTGATTACTTTCCTCATCCATCATATCATCCACAAACTCAACCTTTTGCAGACGATCGACACCATTGTAAACTTGAAGCAGAAAAGTATTTTCCATATAAGAACGTGGATCATCTCTCATCATGTATGAATTCATCTAGTCCCAAATTAACTCATTTGGATACATCAACTGAAAGCAGGACTAACATTTCACCTCGATTCGAATACAGGTCCGCTGGACCATGTTCCCGTAGCAGCAGTCGTGATGCTGTATCCGGGTATCCTTATAGCAACCAATCGGAATCTTCCACGTCAGAAATTGACGTAGGTAACGATGAAATTGAAAAACGATCCTTATCTTCATCTTTTCAGCAAAATCTTGATACCGGTCAAAACACAATCAAAGAGGAACAATCACCAAAAACTTTCACAGCAACAGACAATCACCCGCATCCACAGTCACGTGGAATTCAACAATCTGTTATCATGCGTCATAGAGCAAACATCGTGCCCGACACATTAACTGATTCCCAAAAATCAATTCCCCAAAATCAAACCAAATACCCAGATCACGAGGACAGATCTGACCAACATTTTCGTAATCTACAGCAAAATGGACATACTGTTGGGGTGGATCTACATGAGATTCAAGATAGAAATTTCAATGCTCAAGATATTTATTCGCATTGTTTACGTGCTTCCTGTGCTTATGACTCCTACACAAATCAGACGGATTACAGCCAAACCCCGATCCCGACTCCTAAACATTATTCATCCGTTCCTCAGCCCGGATATGCCAGTGTTATTGTGGATACTCAGCAGTACCATTTAGCGAACGGTTATGTGCATTAGATATATGCTTTTTAACATGAGTTTTTATAGGTTTTGTACATTTTTCTCTCTCAGTTGCTTCCGTCTCCGGTGTGAGGATATCAGAGAGTTGTGTAACTCTAGGAACGGATTAAAGGGATATGATTTGTCAACTAAATGTCAAAATGTCAAGAACCAAGAAAATACATATGTATTGAAAAACGTTTTAGCGCCTCCTATTCAACCATGGAAAAGTATTTGTACTTTGCTTGAACAAAATTCTTTTGATTGTCATCAAAGAGACTTGATTTCAATCCCCTCCCCATCCTCACATCTGAAATAAAAGTTTTCTACACGTCTACAAGTTTCTCAAAAAATAAGCGGGTGCTATTCCAATATCTATACAACAATGAAATAAATTTTGAACTTAGAAATATCATTTTCCGTGTATTAACCAGATATTGATAAGAGAAAACAGTTGAATATGCATTTATAAAACCTAGAGAATTCCGTACTCGAAAACGCGAAAATATATGTATAATATTTTTAATCAGGATTTATTTGTCTTTTATGTTTCAATATATCCTAGAGTTTCTATAGACCAACCTTGACGAAATAAACTTTGAGAAAAAGGTCATTTTCAATAAATATAGAATCATACCTTCTACAAAAATGCAGTATTCATTAATGTCAGAAAATACTCAAAAGAAAAGAAACCCGTAAAAGTATGAACTCGTTCTTGTACCAGCACATGTAATTCATCTAATGCATCAATTGAAACGTTTTTTTTTTGCCTCTTCTTTTTTTTAAAATTGTGTCAATCATATCGTTTAATTTCCAATATTATGTAACTCTTCAGTACAGGGAGATAAAAATATTATTCAGAAAGCGAGATTTTAAATGATCAGCTTGATGGGTAACTAAATTACTGACTGGTCAACTTATTTCTCAGTCACAGATTTTTTTTATAAGTATATGTAGGTATATGTAGGTAAGAGTGATGTAGTTTCCTATAGTATTTGTAAACAGGGTTTAATTTTAATAAGTTATGTTAATGAGATGCCATAATAAAATGAATAAAAACCACAATTTGTTCTTCTTGTGATATTTATGGGTACTGTTATCACATATATACTAAAGTATCGACTAGGTCAGTGCATAGTGTCTTTTTATGCCCCCGTATCGAAGATTCGGGGGTATATAGTTTTTGCCCTGTCCGTCCGTCTGTCTGTTTGTGTGTTTATCTGTTTGTCTGCAAAAACTTTAACATTGCCCATAACTTTTGACTGGTTGGAGCTATAGCTTTCATATTTCACATGTGTATTCCTTGTGACAAGACCTTTCTACGGGTACCACCATATTTGACCTTTTGTCCTTGACCTTGGAGTTTGACCTAGTTTTACAAAATTTTACCCAACTTTAACCTTGACCATAACTTTTGAACAGTTGGAGCTAGGGCTTTCATATTTCACAAGTGTAATCCTTGTGACAAGGCCTTCCTCTGGATACCAACAACTTTGACCCTTTGACCTTAGAGTTTGACCTACTTTTGAATATACTTTAACATTGGCCATAACTTTTGAACGGCTGGTGCTAAGGTTTTCATACTTCACATATGTAATCCTTGTGACAAGACCTTTCTTTGGATACCATCAACTTTGAACCTTTGGTCTTGACCTTGGAGATTGACCTACTTTTGAAAAAACTTTAAATTTGGCCATAACTTTTGAAAAATTGGTGCTAGGGCTCTCATATTTCACATGTGTAATCCTTGTGACAAGTCCTTCCTTTGGATACCAACAGCTTTGACCCTTTGACCTTGACCTTGGAGTTTGACCTACTTTTGAAAAACTTTATCCTTGGCCATAACTTTTGAAAAATTGGTGCTATGGCTCTCATATTTCACATGTGTAATCCTTGTGACAAGTCCTTCCTTTGGATACCAACAGCTTTGACCCTTTGACCTTGACCTTGGAGTTTGACCTACTTTTGAAAAACTTTATCCTTGGCCATAACTTGTGAACCGTTGGAGCTAGGGCTTTCATACTTCACGTATGTAATCCTTGTGACAAGACCTTCCTTTGGATACCAACAACTTTGACCTTGGAGTTTGACCTACTTTTGAAAAACTTTTACCTTGGCCGTAACTTGTGAACCGTTTGTGCTAGGGATTTTATACTTCACATATGTAATCCTTGTGACAAGACCTTCCTTTGGATACCAACAATTGTAATTCATTGACCTTGACCTTGGAGTTTGACCTACTTTTGGAAAACTTAAACCTTGGTCATAACTTTTGAACGATTGGTGCCTCATCTTTATATTTCACCAGTATATTTCTTGTGAGAAGGCCTTTCCTTAGGTACCATTATTTTTTACCATTTGTCCTTGACCTTGATGTTTGACTTACTTGAAAAACTTTAACCTTTTCCATATCTATTCATAGCTATTCAATGGTTGCTGCTAGGGCTCTCATATTTCACAGGTATATTCCTCGAGACAAGACATTACTTTGGGTACCAACATATTTGATTTGAATTTGAGAAAGTTAAACCTTTGCTATAAGTTGCCATACGGGGGCATCAGTGTTTCACAAACACATCTTGTTTGATACAGAAAAGGAAAAGTTACCTATCAATGTCAATTTTTATGAAAAAGCAAAAAAATTCAGATTTATTTTCTAGCAAATATCAAACATTAATAGAAAGATAAAGTCACGCGAGCCATGAAACGGTTGACCATTGATATTTCTTTATGATAGCATTAAAATCTGATTTGAAACAATTTAAATGTTTCAGAAAATAGTACATGTATCGTCATTTGGTTTTCCTAACAAATTTAGGGAAAAATATTCGGAAAATATAAACTGAAAAAACCCCCAATAAAAGTCATTTAAAGCAGAAATCTCACTCATTGTTCTTGAAAGGAAAAAAAGTATTTTTTAAAGCTTACATAATGGTCATGTCTGTCTGTGTCTTATAATACTAATTCACACATTAATTCACTGGCTGATCAAAAAAGCCAGCTATTTTTCCTCCACATGAAAAAAGTCTTCAAATCTACAGTATATTATTCTTCCATTTTTACACTATATATTTCATTGAAAAACCACTTTTTTGTTTTGTTTGTTTTTTGTTCAACGTCCCTCTCGAGAATTTTTCACTCATATGGAGACGCCACCACTTGCTGGTGGAGAGCTGCAACTTTATACATGTACCTATACTCGGCACTTAGGGCAATAGAGCAGTGAGGGGTCATTTTTGTGCTAACACCTACTGCGACACGTGGCGCAGTGGTTAGAGAGTCTGCTCTAGAGTCGCGAAGTAAGGAGCTGATCCTTACATCGCGGGTTCGAATCCTACTGTTGGACGTGGAGACCGGTCCTTCGGATGAGACCGTAGAAACCGAGGTCCCGTGTCTCAGTAGGTGCTGGTACAAAAAAGATCCTTCACTGCTCAATGGCCTTGAGTCCCGAGGATAGGTCAAAATTTGCAGCTCTCCACCGGCAAGTGGTGGCGTCTCCATATGAGTGAAAAATTCTCGAGAGGGACGTTAAACAATAAACAAACAAACAAAAAAACTGTGCCACGCATACGACAACAATTTTTTTAAAGTCTTAATGTGACGCCAATTTTAGCCCAATTTCCATAATTTTTTAACTGAATAATGCAGAACAGTTTAAATTTTCTTGTCTTATAATGCTAAACAAAATGATACACTAATCATTGAGAAAAGTTTGTTAAATCGTATAGAAAAAAATTTCTAACCTCAAATTACTATGATTTCTTAACAAAGTAGAGACGTAAAATTTTTAAATTGCATTTGACATGTGATGTCACCGCAATGCCTACAGATAAAATAATGTGGAATAATGTGAAGAAACTGCAAAGAATTCTACATTGTATGCTATTTTAGTCATAAAAAATGAGCAACAAGTAACACTGCAATGATATTTTAGGAAAATGTCATTTTTCAATGAAGTATATTGTGGAAAAATAAAATTATGACTCACTTATGGCCAGGTATTATAGAACAGCTCCACAGGCAACAATAATAATAACATAAGAAAGGTAAACATTCCCTTCAATATAATTGTCCAGATTTACCTAGTACTTTGGTCTTGAAATAACCATATTGTACATTAATAACAAATACATGTATGACTAGTATAAATAAATTGCGGAAACCTTTAACCTCATCTTGTATATACAGTAACTATACAAATAATTTATATAATTTCATCTTTTTATTAGAACGGTTCATTTCTAGGATGATTTCACGTTATATTTCAATATATACGCAGATTTTCTTTTTAAAAAAAATAAGTACTTTCTTCGAAGCAGTTGCTTTTATTTGAGGACTTGAGGCATAATGAAGACAAGAACATACGAAATGAACTTTTTTTCAAACTAAATACATCTTTATTTTCCGTTGAAAATTACCAATGATATTTTACCAATCAAGGGATATGTATGGTATCTACATAAAAATGATTCGAAAATAAAAGTGTTTTTACTAAAGGTAAAGATTTCAAAAAAAAAAAAAAATTATATATGATATCACAAACATTAATCAGACGTTGGGAAATTTGAAATATTGAAGGTTATGAAGATACATGACGATATCAATATTAAAATTTACTGACAAAAAGCATATTTTAAAGGATCAATTAAGAAAGAAAAATGAGGTATGAAACTCAAAATATATATTTGCTGAATCCTTTCATTCTATGAATTCATAAATTTATGTACACAGCAGGAAGCAGAATGGAAGGTGAAACACATATATAGCGCAAGAAATTCATGCTAATAAAATTATATTAAACAACAGTGGAATTCATATTGGTAGTTCAAGAGTGTTGACATAGCATGTGGATATATATAGATGTCCTCCGAAGTATTCCTGACCCATAGGGGTCAAATGTAGATTACCTCAAAATATTAGTTCTTGGTGGCACTAGCAAACGGAACTCTTCAGTGAATCGAGGCAACATTCCACGAGGTCAAAAAGGTTAGGGTACGTCATCAGTTGAAGATTTCGTCGGAGCACTGGGATCAGGAAAGGTAAACAATACCCCGCTATTTCACACCTGCAAGAAGTCGCGAAAAAAGGCGCATAAAATTGAATCTGTGTGGACTCTTAATTGATTTATCGGTTTATAGGCGAAACACCTGGCGAATTGTTTTGATATGTTTGCAAAAATGATATGAAATGAGTGATTTAGAAATGTGTAAAGTTTTCCTACATGTAGGGAAATCTGTCTTTTTTGGTTCTGGGGTGTACTTTATAATGACGTTTGGGGTGGTAGAAATATTTGGAATGAAATAGAGAAATGAAAAAGCAAATATATTAGGTCAGGAGCAGGTGCAACACAAAATAGTCCATACTTATAACTTTTATTTTTTTTTAAATCATATTTTCCAACTAAACCTTTTCAGTTGAAGAGAAAGTTACTACAAGTAGTTTGTACATGTATGTAAAAATTGGTAGACTGAAACATACATGTATCAATAGTTTGTAGATAAGATTTCGCTTACTTTTTCAAATCTTTTATAAAAGATTTACCCGTTAACCTGATATTTTTAAAAATTCAGTTTTCCCCACTTTTTGCCATATCTCTCCAGTCATAATCTCCTACATTCCTATGAGGTCTGATTAAGATGCACAAATACTCGACAAATTAGTAAATTCGAAAGACCATGTAAATATAAACATGTAAACTTGTGTGAAGACTGATTCTAGGAGTTGTACAGTCATGCATTTTGAATCCGTCATGCTAAGTAGTCTAATTTGAGGGGTAAATTTCCAGATTCTTTATATTTAGTTCTAAACTGAAAGAAATAGAATGTGCCTCAAAAAGTTAGATGTAAAAGATACATTTTGAGTTGATGAATCATAAATACATTTATTAACATGCTGAGAGAGAGAGAGAGAGAGAGAGAGAGAGAGAGAGAGAGAGAGAGAGAGAGAGAGAAGCCAGAATATAGAATTGTTCAGAAATGAAAGTTTCTTGTACACTGGATATATAAATCATGCTTTATTTAAAAAGGGACAAAGATTAAAACATCTCTTTGCACATACTTAAGCCTATATTGGGCTATTGACTAAATCCTTAAAAACCCACTTAAACAAATTGAAAGATAAAATTTCCCGGTCGGTGTAATTTGTGACTCTTGAATGAAGTTGGTCGGTAGCGACTTTCAGGTGCGGTAGGTTATCGCTGTCGAGTCATAAGCCAGCAACCATAATATATACGTTTGTCCGAGGCGATTCGAATTAAGATGGCTTGTTTCAGACCCGCAGCAAATGACAACGAACAATTTAATGGTGGTAAATGAAAGGAAATTTAACTTAAACGCGTAGTTACCAGATTCATGGGGGTTACTGCTACTTCAGTTGCCGAGTTACACAATTAGCATTTATTGAACTTTGGAGATAAATAACAACTTCCCGTTTCCTTAAGTTGAATAACAAAAGAATCTATATTATATAAATTGAAATTTATATCTACAATTGGGCAATCTCGCTCGTCGACTTGTTCAAAAAACAAAACAAAACAGAGTCGCATAAAAGTATAGCCCGCATAGAAAGTAATTTTCAGGTATGTTTGTTATAAAACGGTATAGTAATCCACCTTTTTTATTGCCATGTATTAGCCAATAATACGTATATCTAGCTATCTCATTATTTTAAAAAAACAATCATGTATGGCACGACAAATTCACAAAAATTAGACAGTCATAGTTTAACACTAATAGTTTAACAGTTGATAAAATGGTTTACCGATTGTAAACTATGATTAACGAACCGTAAACTATAGTTAAGAATTCGTTAACTATTATTGTTTTCATCTGTAAAACTATATTTAACGGTAAAAAATAATCGGGATCGGGATTCCGAAGAAACACACCAAAAATTCTGTGGTAAATAATAGTTTTAAAAATGTCAAATTAACTGATATTATGACAGTGGCAACATTTAAAATGTAGCAGAAAATAGAATATTTCTTAAGTGTAAATGAAAAAACTGCCCATATGGCGAAAATTACCCAAAAGGATTGAGAAAACAAACAAACAAAATTAGTACACGAACGGCGGCAAAAATAAAAAATGGCGGTTTTCAGTAAAATAAGTAAAGCAGACCAAGAGGTGATCATGAACTCGTTTTATTGGGACTCGGTCCTAAATACGGCACACTATCAATTCCCAGATGTACCAAAACTTCCAACTGGAAAAGCAGCTCATGCTGAGCTGGAGCATATAGACAAAAACCTATACAAACCAAATGCAAAAATGGTGTCCTTCAGGGTACAAGACAAAAACCGTTTGATGAACTGGTTAAAATGTTTAGCTTACAGATATCACTATCAGTTTGGTAAAAGAAAGGAATTCAAATGTGAATGGATTGATAGATTGAAGGATGGAAGTGAGGAATTAATCGATGAAGTTCTAGTTAGATTGTTGTCTGTCGATATAGAAGGCGAGGAGATGGAAAAAATCATTACTATCAATGTATATTTTTCTACCCACTTGATCACTGTTCAGGGAAACAACTACCTTCATTGGGTAGATGACGAATTTCCACACTTAAAATCTGTTGTGGAAAATATGTCCACACAAGACAACTCTGAGACAAAAGTGAAAAACCTACTTGACGTGTCAGCTGAATATGATGAATTCCAGTCATTTCTTAGTAGTAATAAGAAAACGTTTTCAACGCCAAGAATCATCTCTCCAAACACAGTCGCCTCACCAAATAATATGCAAACCATAGAATCAGGTATTTGTTCAAGGTTTAGCACCTTGGACAGAAAGATTGATGTATTCAATAACAATCTTTTGGAGAAAATAAACAATTTGGAAGAAATCATTTCCAGAAATAGCCAAGAGAACGAAATTAATCATAGTGTTCTTCAATCGAGAAATAAAGAACTGGAAAATAAAATAAACTACTTACTGGCAGAAATGGGAAAAAAGGAAGAGAAAATCAAGGAACTCAAAAAAGAAATAAGCAGGTTGAAAGAAGACAAAAAAGAAAACAAAAATGAGAAAGAGCAGCAGAAGGAAAACAAAAATGAAGAGAAAGACAATGAAATGAATGTGATGTTAGAAGAGAATAACAGTGTTAAGTGTCTAATTCCAACTGCAAACAGATATGAAGCCCTCTCAACTGATGTTGAAGAACCAGGTGCAATGCACCAAACAAGGTCAGACATATCATGTGAAATGCCAAAAAAGAAACAAGATCTGCCTATTGAAGTCATCATGGACTCACATGGAAAATGGTTAGATCCAAAATGGATGTACAAGAACAAAGATTTAAGAATAACAGTACTGGGTGCAGGAAAAAAGAACATCAAGGGAGCAATGGAACATATTCAGAGTATAACATTTCCAAAACACTTAATCATAGGAGTTGGGTGTAACGACCTGTCCAACGAAAACCCAGAAGATGTCTCACTCAGATTTAAAGAAATGATAACTAAAAATCCAACAAATTGTGTCCTTCACATTCTACCCATATTTGAAAGATATGGAGACAGTACATACAACCAAAAAGTTACAGAGACCAACAGAGAACTACAGAAATTATGTGAGGAAAATGGTGTAAACTTCATCAAAATAAACAAAATATCATCAGAAAATCCTCAAAATTACACAAGGGATGGAGTGCACTTTAGTAACATAGGAAGGAAAAATCTTGTCATTATGATAAAGCAACATCTGAATCCACATCTAGGAATGAAACCATATGACCAATATCAAAAACATGAATCACAAAATCATCTGCATCACAAAAGGGAACATTACCAAAATGATCAAAGACAATATTACCAAAGGAAACAGCATCGCCGCATTGATCAATGGCAAACAAGCGGAGAATGGAGACAATATAATTTCAAGAACCACCTAAACACAAGTGAACGAAAGCACCAGAATAAACATCTTGAACGAAATCAACCACAAAAAACACAGGGGAACCAAAATGTTCAAGAGCCAATAACGAAGGAGTCTCAAATGAGAGAACTTCTAGAACAGATGTTGAAATTTTTGTAGATACATGGAAGACCAGCATGATACCAATCATTCAATCTAGTCATTATCTAAGTCATAATACTCTCTTGTTATTATTATTTCTCTTTTCCTCAGGTTGTGTGTTGTAAAACTGAAGTAAGAGTAGTCAATATATACCTGGTTGTGTTTTAAATGGTTGTTCTAAACTTGATATATGTATCTGCCATTTATATTTTTATGTCACTGTCAGAATGTTAGCTTGATTTTTCTTATAATTTTGAAATGTCATCGCTAAATATAGCATACTGGAATGTACATGGTCTCAGTGATGAAAAGTTAAATGATGATCTTTTAAGAAACTTTTGTACAAAATATGATATTGTTTGTTTAGCTGAAACAATGCTGAAGGATTCAACAAGAAATCTTCCAGGATTTTCTCCACCATTTGTATTGAACTCAAAAAAGACAAAGAAAAGGGGTAGACCATCAGGTGGATTACATGTATATATTAAACCTACAATATACAAACACTTCAAAAAAGTATTTCAAAGTGAAAATAGCATTTGGCTTGAAATTAACACTCGAAATACAAAATCACAACAGAATATTGATTCATATTATTTTTGCTTCTGTTATATAAAACCATACGTAAGTAAGGCAAAATCGGAAGAAATATTTTCTAATTTAGAAAATGAAATTGCAAACTATAGAAGCAAAGGAGAAATTTTTGTTTGTGGAGATTTTAATGCTCGTACAGGAGGGCTGCAAGATTTTATACAACATGACACACTGAATGATACATTTTTGGATTGCCCTCTACCAGAATACATATATGAACCTGACATTTCAGTGAACAGAAACCAACTTGATAAGACATCAAATTTACATGGACACCTAATTACAGATATTTGCAAAACATATAGATTATCCATCCTGAATGGAAGATTTCTTGGTGACTCACTTGGCTATTTTACATTTTTTAATTCTAATGGTTCAAGCACTGTTGACTATATGTTGGCATCAAGTCAGTTGTATCATAAAATTGAACATTTTAATGTATTACCTCCTACAGAAATATCAGATCATTGCCTTATAACTGCAAGTATTAATATGAACACAAATGTGTTTTGCAATGAAAAATATAAAATGCACTCTTTGAAGGGGAAATATCTCTGGTCAAGCACTTGTAAAAACCAATATGCAGAAGCTATTAATGAGGAAGAAACTAAAAATCAAATACTAATGTTGGATAATTTACTTGACCAAATATATGATGATAACACATATGATTCAAATGATCTCGTTTATAAACTATCAAGTATTATAATTAATGCAGCTAATAAAAGTGTTCCATTTAAACCTGCAAAATTTACAAAATCACAACGAAAAAATAAACAAAGACCAAAATGGATGACTACAGATTGCTTACTCCTACGAAAAGAAGTTAGAAATTTAGGGAAGAAAGTACACAAATATCCAAACAACTGTGAACTAAAACATGCCTTTGCAAAATGTAGAAAAGATTATAATAAACTAAGAAAAAGTCTTAAATCTAATTTTTACAATAGTATTGCAGAACAAATTAACACACTTTCGCCACAAAACTCCAGTAAATTTTGGAATAAGATAAAAGAAAATAAATCAAAGAAAACTAATGCAGAAACAATTGGAATTTCAGAATTCGTTGACCACTACAAATCCTTACTGAACATTCAATATACTGATGAAGAGAGCTTGAAATACAAGTACACTGAACTAAATACTGAACCAAATCCATTAGACTTTTTGTTTACTCAAGATGAAATAGAACAAAGCATTTTAAAGCTGAAAAATGGTAAAAGTGCTGGGCCTGACTTAATTTTAAATGAGTTTATTAAAACAAACAATACTACCCTTTTACCTGTCCTTACAAAACTGTTTAATATTCTACTTAAAAATGGAAAAATGCCCAAAGAATGGAACCTTTCACTTATAACATCATTATACAAAAATGGTGATCCTAATAATACAAACAATTATAGGGGTCTCAGTGTTACAAGTTGTTTAGGAAAACTTTTTACAGGCCTTCTACAGAAACGCTTAGATAATTATCTTGAGTCAAATAACCTACTAAGTCAATATCAATCTGGATTTAGAAAAGGTCATAGGACCACTGACAATATATTTGTACTAAAAACACTTGTAAACAAATATCTTTATACAAAGAAACAGAATTTATATGTGTGCTTTGTAGATTTTTCAAAAGCATTTGATACTGTGTGGAGATCTGCACTTTTATACAAATTGAATGAAAAGGGTATTGGTGGTAACTTTCTCAAACTTTTGACAGACATGTATACAAATACATACTATTCTTGTAAAAAGGACAATCAAATGAGTGAAAAATTTAAAGCTAATAGAGGAGTCAAACAAGGTGATAATTTAAGTCCAACACTTTTCAATATCTTTGTTGATGATTTTGTGAATTATCTTAAAAATGTAAGCACAAATCCTGCATATCTAGATACTATGCCAATAAATCATATGTTTTTTGCTGATGATCTGGTCCTTGTATCAGAATCAGAAGTTGGTCTACAAAACTGTATAGATGTTTTAGGAAAATATTGTTCAGACTGGAAATTGTGTGTTAATATGGATAAAACAGATGTTATGATTTTTTCAAGAAAAACAGATGATGAAACATCATTTAGATTTTATTACAATCACCAAATGATTAACATAATGAATGAATATAAATATTTGGGTGTTGTGTTCAGATCTGATGGAAAAATGAAATTTGCAGCTGAACAACTATCAGAACGTGCTAGGAAAGCATATTATGCTATTAAATCAAATTTTCCTGCAAACATTAATTTTTCAGCTGAAATTATGTTAAAATTATACCAGTCAATGATAATACCAATTATGACTTATGGATCTGAAGTATGGATAACTGACTTCAAATGTGATTTAATGTCTTCAGACCAATTTCCTTTTGAAAAAACACAACACTTAATATTTAAAGACATACTAGGGGTACATAGAAAGGCATCAAATCTTGCTGTTTTATGTGAATTGGGTCGTTTTCCTTTGTACTATTTATGTTATGAATATATGTTTAAATATTTTAAGAGACTTAAGGAAATGGAAAACAAACATGATTATAATAATTATTTAGTGATTTCTGCATTTAAAGAAGACAAAAAACTTGTATCTAGAATATCTTGGCAAAGAAAACTGTCTTCATTACTACAAAAATTAAATATCACTTCTTTGGATATTTCTCACACAACCTTGAAAAACAAATTACAAGAGCATTACCAAAACAAGATACATGAACAACTGAAAAATATAAGCAAATCAAACTCTGGAAAGTTAGCTTTTTATAGTAAAATTGTAATTCAAAATGAATACAAATTGCAAAGTTATTTAAAGCTGCCTTTAAAGAAAAGTTTTAGATCTGTATTAACAAAATTAAGGATCAGTGCCCATCCATTGTATATTGAAACGGGCAGATATTGTAAACCCCCTATTCCTAGAGAAAAACGTTTATGCTATTCATGTAAATTATTTATTGAAGATGAAAAACATTTTGTTCTATACTGTTCAAAGTATGACCAATTTAGATGCAATTATACTGATATATTTAATGTAAACACATATACTAGTGATAATCCCATTAGAAAAATTGTCAATCCTACAAATATTACAACTGCTAGAAGGATATGTTGTTTTTTGAAAAAGTGCTTTGACACCAGAAAAGAAAGTCAGCAATGAATACTTAGAAATATGTGAATATACTCTACATTATTTTGTTCAACTCACATTTGTCATTTTGTATATGTATGTATTATTCTTGTTAATTCGTTTTATGTCATGACTGTATGCCGACATGGTAATTGTCAATAAAGTGAATTGAATTGAAAATTTAACGGTAGTAAACAACTAGGTTATCGCCTGTGAATAAACTTTAACATTAGATTTTGCTGATAAGTATCTGTTGGGAAACTTTTCCCAAGTACCGTGAGATTTGGTGCCAAGCGAAGCGAGGTACCAAATCGAATGGCAGGGAAAAGTTTAACAACATACTTAAGTACACGTTTCACTCGAGAAATTAAACCCTTTGTGTCTGAAAGTACTTCACAGAAATTTCTATTTTTAGTAACCATGGCAACACCGTTCATCGAAATCAAAAACCAATATACAGAACTATGTATCGTAGTGTAGTCTACTTGTGTGCCAAGTTATATTGAAATCAGACCAAAATTGTAGGTGGAGTATTATTTTGAATGTATTTCACAGAAATTTCTATTTTTAATAACCATGGCAACACCGTTCATCGAAACCAAAAATTGATAAAGATAATTATGTATCTTAGCGTAGTCTACTTGTGTGCCAAGTTATATTGATAGCAGTCCAAAAGTGTAGGAGTATTATTTTGAATGTATTTCACAGAAATTTCTATTTTTAGTAACCATGGCAACAACACAGAATTATGTATCTTAGTGTAGTCTACTTGTTTGCCAAGTTATATTGAAATCAGACCAACACTGTAGGAGGAGTAGCATTTTAAAAAATTGTTTATAGACAGACAGACGGACAGACAGACAGCTAGGCGGACGGACGACGGACACCTTACTATCGCATAAGCTCTTCTGGTCTCTGACCAGTAGAACTAAAAATTTTGATATCTTTACCTATAAAGGTATGTAAAAAATTTAGCCTTATATATAAATACCAATGCTAATAAGCATGATATGAAATTAGAAATGATTTATGGTGTTTTGCAACGGTAGGAAACACTTTATAAGCTATGCATTATAAAATAATTGAAGTACACAGAAGAAGCTAAAGTACTGTATAAGTATAAAATCATGCAATTTTTTTTCAATTGCCTGGATACCTATAATAGTTTTTTATCCTACAATGTTTTTGTTGATCAATTTCCAATTAGAAAATGCATAGTAGGTGTCTTTATTCGCATTTCCTGAAAATTTATTTGAGATTTACTAATTTTTCTATATAATATGACTAACTTTAATGATGAAGTTTGAACAATTACCATGGATAAATTCACATTACTTTGGGAATTCAGAGACATTTTTTTGTGAGCATTTTCAATTATTCAATGCCTGATTTTCAGATCTTGAGGGTCGGACTACCTTTATGATTATTCACACGATTGCATGAAGCTTGGGATTGCAGTGTACCAAGTGATTTGGTAGCTGCAAAAACCCTTTGATCGAGGTGTGAAACGTACTAAATATAGATTCTCATTTGTAAACTATAATTTATATTCGTTAACCATAGTTAAGAGTAGTAAATCATAGATTCACAAATAGTGAAACTATAGATAAACTATGTTTTACATTGAATTTTGTTTTTAAGACCGTAGAACATTAACTGGCAATATTGGAAATATGCACCTTACGTCATTTCCATCTATTACAGTCAAAGCAATGAAATGGGTGGATACAATTAGGCGAGGGGGTCTGAGAATACATGGGATTAGAATTCTAGTTTGAAATTTATTTTCAATCCACCTCAGCTACTCTCATACGCTCAGTGCTAGTGATAGACCAAGAAGATAAATAATTTCAACTTTTGAATACATGTTGTTTTAAATTTACATAAATCTGAGTTTTCTGTCCAATGTTTTTTTTGAAAAGAAATAATAAGAGGACGACCATTTAATTCGGGGGTGGGAATGGGGGTTTAGGTCTTAGAAACAAGCAGAAAATCTGTCAGTTTGGAAAGCCCTCTCCCTTTTCCGTTTTTGCTTGTCAACCGTTTTTCAGCGAAGAAGAAATAAAATAATATCTTTTGTCATCATAGACATAAATATACAATGTATTCTGATCTGTGAAGCCATGAACAGAAATACATTTACAACTACCACCTTAGAACCAATTGGCTGTCCCCTGAAAGAATATATTTATATCTTCTGTAACTGTAACGTTTGTCTTTAAAATTATTGGATTGAAAATTCTGATTTACATTATTTTCAAACATTATGGGAATTGAAATTATTTCGTCTTTTGGATCATACAATAACACTTTGCATATGAAAACTGCTTGGGTTGATTATAAATCAACTTCAAACTTGAATTTCAGTCCAGTGTTTTCTCAGACGTCCGTTCCGAATTGTACTCGCCCATATCGTTGCCTATCATCAAATATTGTGTATTTTCAATCTTGCCAGTTAATGTTTCGCGGCCCTAATACTGACTTTATGAACCCATGCCGATCATTCCTTTAAAAGAAATACTTGTTTCCATATCCTATTAGAATTGCTTTCAAATGCTAGAAAATTTTCTTCTTATGTCAACAAGTATGATATAATTTTAAAGCAAATAGAACAAATTTTACAGAAAAAAAATCGTAGCTTAGCAAATTCTTATGTTGTAACTAGGAATCAGGCACGGATCCAGGAATTGAAGTTAGGGGCGCAAAAGGTAGACAGGGGGTCTGGGGGCAGTTTTGAGGCCCCCAGTGGGTCCAGGGCGAAGGCCTGGTGGAGGCACAGGAGGCGAAGTCCCCGGAAGCTCTTGGAATCTAGAGATTTTGTTGGATAAAACTGAGTTCTACCGAGTAGACATATTTATATTTTCTCGACGAAACTATGATTTACGCTTACTTTGACATATTTTTTTTTTGGAGTCCGCCACTGAAAATAATCGTATCTACGAGGATTGTTCCAGAAAAACGCAATCTTTTTTTTTTTTTTTTTTTTTTTTGTTTTTGTTTTTGTTTTGTTTTTGTTTTTTTTTTTTTGTTTTTGTTTTTGTTTTTTTGTTTTTTTTTTTTTTACTTATGTTATAAAGTTGAAAATTTATCATGCATCATGATCAACATTTTTTTTTCCATTCTTGGTATAAATTTTAATTTAATATCATAGCAGTATAACATAGTATAAATACCATTTTTCTTTTTCAATCAAACTTATTTTACAGAATAAATGTTTTACATGTAACCCCTTCCTTTTCCACAAAGATGAATTGAAAATACTAAGTCATACCCGACAATCCATGCAAAAATTATTATAATACGCTTTAAGAAAGATAACTCATTTCACTTAACGTACAAATTCGTGATGTTTACACAAAGAGCAGCTTCCGTAAATTTTTTATCTTATAAAGAAATCTTTGTAAAGGAAAAAAAATACATACTCTCAAAATGCATGATCACAATACGGACAAAATAAGAAGATGGAGAATGGAAGTACTGCTTTGATATGCTGTGTAATATGCTGTGATATATTTTACATTGAAGGAGGAATGCTACATCAAAATTTTATTTCATAGATCTTTAAGACATCCCTTTTACATTATGATTTCAGCATTGAAAGGCCGATATTAGCTCTTAATTATTTTATTAGAATTTTTTCCAATTTTTCATAGAAAATGAAATAAAAGTTTTATTTGCAATTGAGATGATTTAGAGTTAAAAAAAATTGCTGTTAATAAATGCATAACATGAATTAGACAGACAAATAAATTACACAAGATGACCATTATAACTTAATAAATTGATGCTGTGTTTTCGTTTGTGCAGATCGGTAGCTGCATGTTAAATAACTACGAAAAGAGAAGAAACAAAATGGAAAGAGGAATAAAAAAAAAAAAAAACAATAGATGTATACTTTTTCGTCCCCTATCGATTAATACGAAGGCACTGTAGGTTTCATCCAAGTCTGTTCGTCTTTCTAGTCTGTCTAGCTGTCCCTTTGCCTGTCTGTTAGTCTGTCTCACTGAGTTTTCCGCACTGTTTCCTTACACGCAGGCAGATATTAAGGTGATTGTCTATTTTACGAAGTTACACGTACATGTAAGATGAGGTTTAGATTTTTTCCCACTTGGATGACTTTTGACGGAATTATAACCTTGTTGAGTTCTAAGATTTTATGTTACATCTTCCGGTAGAGGACTTATATTGCTCAAGGCAATTCTTAGAAGAATATTTGTTTTATTAGAACTAAATGCATCACTATCAATTTCAAGGGCCGTTTGAAATCACTAAAAATACAGTCAATCTTCGAAAGTAAAATAGAAGTGCGGTGTTTGTGTGTGAGAGAAATGGAGTATTACTTCGTTGTGGCAAAGGGGCGGTGGGGAAGTGGGAGGGGGGCAAGGTCCTTATTAAATAATGTTTTGCGATAAGAGGATTTAGGAGCTGCATACCCCTCCTAGACCTCCCATCCCACTGTTGTTCCAACGTCAATGCATGTTCACAATGTTTTTGACACATTTATTGGACAATCTGATATGATTTTTGTTTTTTTTGAAATGGCAGGCTCATATTGGTTTAACATTTACATCAAGAACTAACTAAGATCTGTATTCAGTACAATAAACATTAATTAAATATTGCATATTAGAATAAATCTATTTATTTAACCAAATAGCGAAACTTCGAGTAAATATCACATCAAGATAAGTCAAAATGCATGTTCTATATAGTGAAATTCAAATGTTAATTAACATATTTTATTTGTGAAGAAGTTTATAACTCGAAATTTTTAATCGATAGGAAAAAAATGTTTAATTACTAGTATCTGTACATGTACATGTATTACCAATAAAGTGTGATACAGAAATTGTGGTATAACATACGTGTACATGTACACGTATGTATCGAAAGTTAAAAATTTACGTATTAAATCGTTCAAAATTTTCAAACAAAAACATTTTTTGTTATATTTTCACCACATTTCTGTGAGTTTTTTTATGTACCCTAACAATTTAGAGCGAGGAGATTCAGAAATAAGTTGTTCACAATTGTTTAAAAGCGTAAAAAAGACCCACGAAGACTTTGAAAATAATTAAACAAGAAGGAAAAATATTAGACGTTTCATCAGTAGCGCTTAAATTAATATCAGAGAGAGAGAGAGAGAGAGAGAGATTTCCTCTACTAATTGCTTGGATTCAGTTACGATGAAAGTAACACTCACTCATTCGTGCGTGGGAGAAACTCCACGACGCTGGTGATCTAATCATACAATCTTACAATTTACACAAACTATCGGTCATGTATCGTCGTCTGTGCGCATTGGGTGGTCAGTGAATTCAAAGTGACCATAACCGCGCAGAATGTAGTAAAGTGGTTTTTTTTAACGAACTAGACCATGTTGAACAAATTTACTTTTCATTGACAAAACCGAAATTCTCTGTTTCACAAGTTACCGGAACGATGCAGATTGATGCACATTGACGTGCCACGCATTAAATACGTGCACTCTCTACCTTTAGCAAAAATGAAAACTTTACTGGGTCAAAATGTCAAGCTTCATTGGCTGCTTAAAAAGTCTGCCAATTTGAACCTGCATATCGACTAATTTATGTTTTGGATGCTGCTATTTGTCGTTTTTACAATTTATTGTCATTGCCCTATAAACTTTTTTTCCGAATATACGACTTTTGATGCACTAAATCTTTTCAACATAAATAAGCTATAAAAATCGAGGAAAGAAGTAAATTAAAAGGCATATTACATTGTATTTAGCAATTTAATTCTTTGGAACATATCTTTGTAAGTTTTTTTTTTTTTTTTTTTTTTTTTTTTTTTTTTTTTTTTTGAATGTTTTGAAAAAGAGGAAACGAATTAAAAATCAATATCGAAATTATATATATTTAAGGAGTTTCCATTTTATATGGTACATGTATAAAGTGGTTTGGGGCTGTTTACGCTTTAAAAACCGCGAAGCGGTTCATAAAAAACGCGTAAACTGTTCCAACCCAGTTTATACCGTATAAGTTGGGTACCTATTGAATTCATTCCTCATAATTTAATTTTCATTCATTTGGTGTAAGAAAAAAAGATGATTGTTCTTAAAAAATGACTTCAATTTGTACAAAATTTGAATGTAACGTCAGGAGGATCGATACGTTTTTGACGCAAGTCATTGTGACGTACGCGTAGTCAACCCATTTTATACGATATAAAGTAAATTTTTTATCCAATCAAATACAGCTTCACAACCATTACAACCACAATATATATATATATATATATATATATATATATATATATATATATATATATATATATATATATATATAATGATCTATTTTGGTTTTTCTGTTGAATGCAGTTTCACCTCAAGCTAGGGTAACGCTTGAAATTTTAAGGAAAAAAATAAATATTTAAGATTCACAGTTTGATTTTTAAGTTTCTAGGAGGTGTAATTAAAGAAAAGCACAATAGTGAAAAATCTCATTTATAAACACACAAGTACATTACTTTTTTTTTAAAATGTTATGCTCCATCTAAGCGAGGAATGTGTTGCGCCCATCGATTAATTAACACACTGGTCCTTTAGACGAAATTAACAGCTTGTATTATATAATTATATAGTCGGTGTGGAAATAAAATGAATCTGCAGACTTTTCCAGTGCTGACGCCAGCTTCAAGCTAGGAGCATTAAAACCACCTGTAAGAATAATTTCTGTGAGACCATATCCTATCGCTGTCATAAGGTGTTTTTCACCAACAGGAGAGTTCACTGGTTGCCGATGTGCGGACAAATTAGAACCAAATGCGTGTTACCTAACTCATAGAAATTTCTTTACACACTCCAAAGTATCTGTACATTATTGTGTATTCACTAATAGTATATTTTTTGGAGTGTTTTATGTAATATTTTACTTTTTATAAAGTTATTATGTTACATTTTAAAACCATTTAAAACCAACATTTCAGAATGAGAAACACAAAAGCATGTATCCTCTTCGTAATCAAGATAAGTCGATCTCTGATGCATGTACTAAAGCTTTGGCGGATTCTATAAGTATACTTTATTTTGCTTGATGAATGGAAATTTATCACAATAAGTGTGTTTTCTTTTGCTGTACGATTATAAAAACATATAGTTAGATCACCAATATGACAAATGATTTTTTGTACGTCATTCCAGAACATCCTAAATGTAATCATTGTTAGCTCTTCAAATGCAAAGACCCAAGGAGTTAATGCAATGACCTGGCGTGCTTGCGAAAGCCCCCTGCTTTGTAATAATCATTATAAAGCTTATGTTAACAAATCCTGATCAATAAAACTACGGATTGTGTGTTTATGATATCATTAGACTTAGAATTGAATATCTCATTTAAAACCATTTAAGATGTGATTTAAAAGACATTAGAAATACATTTCATTCTTAATATTCTTACTGACAGCCTATAGCTTAATTAGCTATTTATCCAAGTCAACCCAGTTTACTTTACATTAATTAGCAAGAATAAGGAAATACAAGATCCACATCAGTTTATAGCAGTTCCAACTTCTTGCTCCTCGCAATACATATGACTATTTTTTGTGATAATGAATACTTGAAACTTAAGGTACAAGTTCATTTACTACACTCACACCAAAAATCAGTGGATGGAACATGAAGTATCGTATTCTAGAAAAGAAATGCTAATGATATTACCTCTTAAAATACTTTTAAATAAATTCTGATACATGTTTTTTTTTATTGTTCAGAAAATAGACTGATTTTGTTTAGGGATCAGTTAATATAACGTTAGGGGTGTTGAAGCAGGGAATATCTTTTTGAATGCGAAAGCGTATTATATATTTTTGAAGATGGATTGGAAAAAAGTTAAAACTCAATATTCAAATACCACACTTAACGCAATGTATGATATAGTATAAAGTGGATAAGTTTTTTCCCCTAAATCGGAGGGAGAGCGGGATCAAGAGGTCCTGAATTTATCCATACGACATCAATGACTTCGTGGCGCAGTGATATGATTGCTGGAATGTAAAAATGGTGATTGCAAGTTCGAGCCCACATTTTTTTCTATTTATGTGTTTTGATTTTTTTTTCTTTGTGCATCTTTTCTATGCTTTTCTTTATTATGTTTTATAAATGATTACATACATGTATGTCTTGAATTGAAAAAGTACATTTATCTATAAATAGAAACAGGTGATTTCTTTTTAAATGCTTGAGTCGGCCGTGTCGTCGGTAAGGCAGCTATGGCTCTTTTAGCTATTTTGTTCAAGTTTATTTGCTTCTACCCCCTCCCCGTGTGAGACACAAAAAGGTTTTATCTAAGCAGTAAATCCACCGAAACATGGCTGAAATATTGCCCACTCGGCGTTAAAAAAATAAACAATCAATCTACGAGGTAAATGTATAAACCGCCTTTATTGTTCAAATTTCTATAATAGGACCTCAAATATTGTGTTATGCGAAAAATGCAATGTAAAATAAACAAGACTCGCATCTAACTTTTAGCAACTTTGATCCAATCTGATTTCCTGTTTATATTATAAGAGTGGTATGAAAATGTTTTACAGCTGCTATGTCGCTTGTTTTCTTCATGTTTATTTTTCACACTAAGTTACTGTAACAGTTGACCGAAAAGTTTGTTGAAGATTTTTTTTTCTCCCAAAGTTATCTTAAATATCCAATTAATAGATAAGTAAAAAGATATACTAATATTTTTCAAATAAAAAATATCATTTGTAACATTTTTTATTCTTACATATACACCTTATAGAACATAATATAAATGTACAAAAGTTATAGAAAAAGAATTTTTTTTGAGAGAGAGAGTGAGAATGAGAGAGATATTGAGTGATTGTAAGAGTTAAGTTATTTACATGTTCCAACAAAAGTTTTTATACTGGAGAAAGGGGGATGAAACTAATAGCAATCTCTGTTGACCATCAGAGCCCGCACGTGTTACAACATCATAATTTGAATCGAATGAGAGTTGGAATTACGCATGTAACAGGAAGTAAGGCTGCGCATTGCATTGTTTATAGTAGACATGGGAGATAAAGTTTATATCTAAGCTTTTTGAATGGAATATACTGAAAACACTCAATGACAACTACCTGAATGATAGCAGAGTTACTGTATACATTGGATCATAATGCATGCAAATGAAAAGGACTCATTTAACATGTTTAAAAAGATGAAGGCATTTGGAAGAATCAAAGAAGAATTTGTTGGTGTTATAATGGTAAGTCGCATTTATTTGGAAATTTAGAAACGTAATATGAAGAATGTGTTTCTATCTTGTTGGATATTTTGTTGATAAAGAAGTGAAGAACATTTTAAAAAATATCAAGATAAATAAATGGAACAAGTGAAATTTTTGTAAACGAAACGGGTTTATATTTGATGAAGGTCTACATGTGCGTTCCTTTTTTTATTTGTGTGCTCACTCTACTAGTGTTGGTACACACAATTGTCATGTTAGTACGACGTGCGTCCTTTACTTTGCTCATTTGATTATTTTAAAATTATATATTTGAATACTTTAGAATCATAACAACACATTCTATATAATTTTTTTGAATTAACGCATTGATACATGTGACAAAAACACTTATAAAATGATTAAAACAATCTTCATTTCCGATAGAAATGTCTGTATATTTTTTTTTATTATTGTTATTTATTATTATTTTATATTTATTATTGTATCAAGCACGAATATTTTCGGGTTCTAATGTGAGAAAACATTTTCAAAGATTTGCCCGCTCTTTTTAAAAACAACGCTTTTGAAATAGGATATACTAGTATTTATTTGTTTAACTGGGGCTATAGGGAATAAGAATGGCAACCTTTCAATTTCATGTATTGTAAAAAAACATAGTACGATCACTTTAGATCATGAGTACTTAGAGTCAAAGTCTACTGTTGTTTAATCTGTAATTGCTAGAATTTAGGACAAAATTCTGGCAAGTGATTCTCATCAAACTATAAAATTTGGCTTCTATTCTATTGAAATAATTGAAGATTTATTGTAAATCAATTTGTTCACAGGTCCTCGGGAGTGAAAATTAAATAACCCAAATTTTAGAACATTAAAATCCAGAACTCAGATTTTTAGAATCGGAGAACAAACCTGTTGCAGACAGGCCTATAAGATTTTTTCTTAATGTTCTCATATTAAAAAGAAACAAAATAAATCAAATAACAATATTGTTAAAACTGTGTTGTCAAGCAGAGTCATTTGTCAAGATAATTTTTTACCCCTCTCCCCTACAACAAACACACACATGTACGATTTGAATGCGTTAATTTATGTATATACGTACAGTATTTGGTTACAAAATCTTCCGTCATCTTGAATTAAAAGCTATCGTATATTAGTATATTAATTATATAATATTTACAAATATAGGATACGCATTTAATACAATCAAAATCACGACACTTCATCATGGTAATATCAAATCATGACCCCTGCCGGTAGTGTGGGGTCACAATAGCTGATCAAAGTTATGCAAAGGAATTTAAGGGATAAGTTTTAAAAAAATCAAGAATAAGAAAGCCATAATAAGTAAAATTTATTGAGAAGCATCCTCAGGTGATGTAGATACAAATGTGTTCAACGCATCTGCCTGGGGGTAGGGCAATGCAGTGGAGATTAAATGTTGGGACATTTTTTTTTTAATTTAAACTCTTCAATAATTAACCGATTTAGCGATGTGGCCTATCGGCCCTCTATTTCAAATTCTGTTTACTTGTTTAAATTTAAGATTCTATAGAACATATATATATATATATATATATATATATATATATATATATATATATATATATATATATATATATATATATATATATATATATATATATATATATATATATATATAACAGAAAATAAGAGTCATTTAAATTTTGTGCACCATTCATAGACTTTCTACATGTACTTCTATCACAGGGCATAAGATGGAGGTAAACAACCCAGCAGGACCGTAACCACCAAGATGTCTGAGGAGTAAAAACAGAAAACACATAGATGTGTAAAGGATACGTTTATATAGAGACCACAGAAAAGTATTAAACAAGAAATCATCGGTATAATATTCTGATGACGCTTTTAAAGTAAATTGGATATATAAACAATAGTGGTTCTTTTATTCAAAAAACATCAGGGAAAATTACTCAACAGTTCATAGTGGAAGGATTGCTAAAACGTGTAAGTGAAATTTCATATCAGATGTCAAATGATACAGATCAAGGCCCAACCACTAGGATTTTACCACAATGTTACCCACGAGCTGGAACTAGGAAACCCACTTCACAAACAGAATTTGGAACAGTCAGTAATTTGGACCTTGACTCTCGCAAAGCATGTCAAAGTTGTGAAAAGGGATACAAATATATTTCCATCAATCTTAGGAGTAAAAAATGCATAATATCAACTCTTGCATATTGTGATTGTGTTAGACTTCCATGTATCATTTTAATTCTATTTGGAATGACTACATAATCTATAGAAGACTAATACATGATCTATTTTTTTTTATTCTTAAAGTGTGTGCTGTGTTCATTATTTAAATGGTGATGATCCTCTCAGATCATTGTTCCCTTTTACATATGCGGTATGAATTCCTAATGTTTTCTATATCTGTATATGAGAATACTAAGTTAATGTATTTTGATTGCTTCACCCAAAGATTTCATCAGGGGAGTGTATGAATTGAAATGTTTAGCTCAAGATGATTTTTGGTGCTCCTATGACTAAGTATTAGAGCGTTAACTTTGCTCGAGAGTCACGCAGTTAAGTGTTAATCCTTACGTCGTGGTTTCCCAACCACTGCACGACATGCAGACTAGGTGCAGGCAAGGAAAAATTCTCCGATTACAAAGGGACGTTAAAGAAACAAAGAAAAGTATTTTTCGTTTGAAAAAATGAGTTAAAAGAAGTGTTTCATTCAGCTGTGTATTGGGGTGCAGATAAAACAGTACATGGAGGGTTATTTTTATATATTGTTTATATACTACTGTGCCTTATTGGAGGAAGCACATTTGTTTTTGAAATTGTATACACTTTTTTGACATTGTATTTCATATTTATTTTGATCACATGTTGATAGGTCCACTTATTGTTGAATTGCAAACCTATCAACATAAAGAGGAGGTAAGATGTAAATTTTCGTCTTTTCTGTTGAATCCACCAGCTTTCTGTCCTTGTGTATAGAAACGAACTTAGTCATTGTAAAGGAAAACTACGAATGCTTTTTGATTTTAATGCTTTTGGTGGATCCACCAAACTCCCCACTTTTAATAAATACACAGGCAATGTTGACAATATATCATTTAAGTATTCTTGAGTATTCCTATTTGCATTTTGGTGGATCCACGAAGTATTTGTAAGTGAAATCGAGAATGCCTAGTTATTTGATTTTTTTTTTACAGTTTTGTGAGTCCACCAAACTCCTCTCTGTATTTAAGGACAATTTAGTTGAACTTTGGGTTACATGTAGATTTTTGACTTTTCTGGTGGATCCACCAGCTTTTTGTCCTTGTGTACATAAATGTATTAAGGAAGTGTCACTAGGTAATTGTAAAGGAAAATTATGAATGTCTTTTGATTTTTAGCTTTTGGTGGATCCACCAAAATGCCCACTATAGATAATTACACGGATAATGTTGACAGTATATCATTCAAGTATTCTTGTGTATTCCTGTTTGTATTTTTGGTGGATCCACCAAGTATTTGTGAGTAAAATTGAGAATGTCTTGTTAGTTGATTTTTTGCATTTTGGTGAGTCCACCGACTCTGTATGAGGGACAATTTTAGTTATACTTTCTTTTTTAGTTTTTGGTGGTTCCTCCACTCAGTTTCTCTCAATGAGTTGTTTCAGTGTCTTAACACTGGTGGATTCACCAACGTCGTTTTTAAAGTATCATCATTATCAAAAGTAATTGAGAATTTCACCAGATTGCTTTTTTAAATTTGAGCTGAATTGTCTATTTGTATTTTTGGTAGAATCACCAAGTTTTCTTGAAGATATTTCAGTTGTTTTGTTGGTAAGTTCACCAATTCTTTTAATGAATTGTAGAATTATGTATGGTCAAATTCACTCTTGTTTTCTTGGTGGAACCACCAAGATCAATCTTTACTTGAAGATATTTGATAATTCAAATTGGTGGATTCACCAATCCTTTGACTGTGATTATGGAATACCGATACATTATTGATCTGTTTAAACATAAATATTGGTGACCACACCAATTCTTAACTTATTCAATAACGAAAATGAATAAAAAAAATTGTCGATTTCTGAAATTGCATTGTCTTCATTTTTCATTTTGAATTTAAAAAAGAGGACACGAATAGAAAATCCTCTTTCTTAATGGAAACAGTTGAATATGTAATAAAATACGTAAAGAAAAGCCAGATAGTCATTTTATTTTTATTTAATAAAAACATTATTTATGAAAATTAAAACAAATTATTTATGAATATTTTCAAAATCTATGGATATTTTATATATATATATATATATATATATATATATATATATATATATATATATATATATATATATATATATATATATATATATATATATATATATATATATATATATATATATAAAAGTCACAGCTACAAAGGATATAAAAGACAATCTTATTTTTAAAAGAATTTGAAATGAAATTGCGATATATGGAATTCCATATACGACAGCCAGCTGCTCACTGCTTACTGCCAATTGCTCACTGCTTACTGCCAACTGCCACTGCTTACTGCCAACTGCCACTGCTTATAAATGATATTGCCTATTTTGTTATCTTATATTAATTAATATCTTTATTACGTATGCTTAAATAAATCCTAAAGATTCTATGATAACAAAAAAAGAAAGGCGAACGATAGTATTGTTCTGCCAACTGCCTACAAATCAATTTCAAAAATATTTGAGTGATTTTCATATTTATATAGAGTCTATATAAATATGAAAATCACTCAAATACTTATAGACATATATGTGATTTTTTTTTATAAAACATTACTTATTTGGTAAAGCTAAGAGAGAAAAGTCTTTAATTTGGAAAAAAAACTTGTGTTTTTCACAATAGAAATCGACAGAAAACGGAAATTTATATTTAAATCATCTATACCCTCCCCAATCCCGTGAAACAACAATTCCTTTTTACAGGTATTTTGAATTGTTATGTCACAAATACCAAAGGTTTTTTTGCGTTATGGGGGAGGGGGCATATGTTTAGAGACTAAAAACAGGAAAATGGTCATTCTAATACGATTTTCAAATGAAATAACAAATGAAAAATGTAATTTATATCAATCTGATATGTTGAATTTTACATAAATTAAAAATACGAATAGATCTAAGAGTCATTTATGTACGAGAGGTGATCAAAAAGTTCGCGAACTAATTGTATTACTTCCATAAAAGAAATAAAATAAGGTTTCAGTGTTCATTTTATTAAAGCAGTCCTATCTGAATTAAAGCACATCTTCCATCGTTCTGCCCATGCGCGAATCACGTGATCCAGGCGGTCACCTGACATACTCCGTGGCGTTCTGTTCACAGAAGCTAAAAGATTTTTCCGAGTCTTATATTTCTTACCTGCAAGTTATTTTTTATAACAAAAAATGTTCATTTGTCAGAAATGGCCGAATTTCGAAAATAGGATGGGTGGATTAGGATGTCCTTTCCCAGAATGAGCATGGTGATCATCACAACCCGAGTTTTAGGAACGTCGTTTATCCGATATGGATATAGTATAGACGCCTTCTTTATATCATATCTGATATGTTTAAAGTCTAAAATAAACAATATTTTAGGGATTTAATAATTATTTTATTGTTAAGATATTCAACTATTTTTCTAACTGTTACTTGGCGATCTTTCATAACAAATTGCTCAACTAAAAACAGATCTCTTCCTCAGCTTGCATTCACCAGGCAACAGAACAAACATCATTTTTAACCATCCCCTTCCCTCACCACAATAATCAATCAAATTAATGAATGAACTTCTGGCAAGTCTTTTGTCTTCATAAACCTTGTACAAATTATCATATGCTACTGCAAAAGAATTTCCAAGATAAACTCTAAACTTTACAGCCGTTCGTTGCTCAAGTACTACTGAGTCAACTATTTTTTGTCACAAAGCACCTACATTGTGATGTCATTTTCACATTGTGACGTCACAAACATGTAGCTAAACATTACATAACAGCTGCTATTTATAAAACATATGTATGACTATATTTATGCCAAATTTTATTCTAATCTGAACGGTGGTTTTCTAAATAAAGAGATAGTTTGCGAACTTTTTGATCACTCCTCGTGTTTTCATGACCTTTTCAAAAATCTGGTGATGTTTTAAAGCTTGATTTAAATTGATTAAATTTTCTATCCCCTTATGAAAGGATTTTTTGATAGGAGCAATTAACTTTTGAGACTGGTTTTTAAAATTGTTAATGCATTTCTTGCATTAGAAGAAATCTGAATGGCCAACTTGCCATTTATATTGATTTAAATGGATGTAAAATGTAAAGGCGGGAATCGAGAATTAGCGTGCGTAGTTCTTACAATAATACACATCCTAAAACGTGCTACTACCTGTACTATACAGTTCGTTTCGTTTTTTTTTTTTTTTTTTTTTTTTTTTTTTTTTTTTTTTTTTTTGCACTGTACGTTTCGTTTTGTGAACGGTTCGTTTCGTTTCTTGCAGGGTTTTTGTTATATTTGTGAAAGGCACGGTTTATTTTGTGCACGATTCGTTTCGTTTTGTGTATGGTACGGTACGCTCCTTGCACGGAAGGTTGCTTCATTTCTGAGGTAGGGTTTGTAACAAAATTGGCAGATTTAGGAATTTTTAAGCTATTAAGGTATTATGGCGAGGAAGGAAAGCATTTCATCTGAAAAACTATAATCGTTTAATTTCCAGATTTCCTTGCAGGCATATAATTCAATTGCTTTTTTGACTCGAAAGGAGGGCGGGGGGGGGGGGGGGGGTCATGCACATACGATAAAAGAACTTTTAGTATGGTCTTGGGTAACATTTATTGGCATATGTATTTACACTAAAATATTACTGGTAAATTATGATAACATTACTTTTGCATAGGGTCTAAATCTAGCAACATATCTATTAGTGTTTCGTTTTACCCTATGAAAGGTACCTGTATTTGTGAATTTTTATATGTTTTATTTAAGTCGTGTTAAATCTGAAAAAAATATTGGTAATGCTGCTGTTGGTGGTGGGTTTCCCCAATACGTTTCTATACAGTAGCGATCCTGTGACTTTTTAATTACTTGTAAGAGATTTCTGTTGGGTTGTTGGGCACGAAAATTGCTTTCTTGTCTAAGATCACCTGTTTCTACATAGAGTAAATTTAAATTTATTGCCTTGTATTATGATTTTTCATTAGTATTTCTGGTGCATAGTTACCCAGGCTCCTTTTAAAAGTCCCCCCTCCCATTTTTTGACGTTATATACGCCTTTAATCTCTCCTCCATCAATAAAAGCTATTGAATGGTTTTTCTGCAAGCTAATGTGGGAATTAGATGTTTTGTATTTAAGAGGAAATACTCCTTGTTCCTATTGATTCCTTCCTCGCCTTCTCCGTTTAAAAAATTCTGAATCAATAGACTATGATCAATTTTTGTCATTATTGTAATATTCTTGCTATCATAGGGTTTATTCAAACATTATTATCAAAGAAATTAAAGATTAAAAATCAGGCAATATCATCTATGATCAGTGGTACAACGGTAAGAAATGACGATCTCCATACTGAGGGATTTGGAAGTATTTTTAGAAAGGATAGGAACTCATTTGGAGGAGGAATAACGTGTATGTCTCTAACTCTCTAAAAGTTACTCAACGGGAAGATTTAGAGCCATAAAACATGGAAAGCATTTGGATTGAAATTGAGCAACCTAACAGTATGATTTATTTCAATGTTGTGTTTACCGTCCACCAAACTCAAACATTGATTTTGGGGAATAATTTTCATAGTCCATAGAAAGAAAAAGTGACGTTTCTAATAATATTATTATACTCGGAGATGTTAATGTTGATTTTCTTCAAATAAATCTAGATCAAGAAATTTATAATATTATGAATATTGCTGGGCTTTCAAATGTAATAAATGAGCCTACGAGAGAAACACAAGATATCAAAACGCTAAAAGACCCTATTCTTATAAGTCAAGAAAAATTTATATACGATTCAGGTACACTAATGGTTGACAAAAATATCAGTGACCACAAAGCTACGTACATATATATAGAACAAAATTGTAATTTAATTGGTCTTCATGTAAATGAAAAAATATGGAGCTATAAAGAAGCAAATTTAAAAGAACTTAATATTCTGTTAAGAGACTTTGATTGGGAAAGTATTATTTCACAACCTGTTGATATCGAAACCGCAACAACAAACTTTACGCAACAATTTATGGTGATTATACGCAAATGTATACCTGAAAAACTGTTACGATAAGACCCAACGACAAACCATGGATGGATTCTTTGTTAAGAAGAAATATGCGACTACGCAATAGGTTAAGAAAAAAAGCACAAAAGACCAAAAAAGAACCAGATAAAGAGAAATTCCGGAAAATTAGAAACAAAGTAAATAATATGAAGAAATATGCAATAGCAAATTATTATGACACCATTGATTCACATAATAAAAATAATAATAAATTATACTGGAAATTACTAAAAGATGTCTTTCACGCTAAAACTACAAGCGAAATACCCCCAATTCAACAAATGAATGGTAACGGTGATCCTATGTATGCATTTTCCGATAGAGAAAAAATTGAATTGCTTAATAATTTTTTTTACATCGATCTCTGATATAAAAAGATGAAGAATATGAGTTATTAGCTTTCGAATCCAAAGATGTAAAAAGATTTAGTGACTTGTATAATTATACAAGAAAGTGAGATTATTGATATTATCTCTATCCTTCCCCTAAATAAAGCTGTAGGCCCTGATTGTATTAGTCACAAAATGTTAAAATTTTGTAAAGTAACAATAGCTAAGCCACTTTGTTTATTATTTAATAAATCCCTAAGACTCAAAATTTATCCTGAGAGTTGGAAATTAGCACATGTGCTACCTTTATTTAAAAAAGACGACCCATCAGTGACTTCAAATTACAAACCTGTATCTCTTTTGAGTTGTGTGAGTAAAATATTTGAAAGAGTTATTTTTAAACATGTATATATTTTTTTTTCATACAAATAATTTGTTCTACAAATATCAGGCAGGTTTTTTGCCTGGTCACTCAATTGTGTAC